GATCAAAAATCCATTAAAGGAATTAAGTCATTTTCAACTATCAATTATGTTAGAACAAATAATCTTATTTTGAAACATCAAGGGTATGCACCATCAGGTTGCAAATATATAGATAATAGAGATTAGAAAATTTAAGTTTAAGACTCAATTTCTTTAATAATTTCGACTAATAGTGTTTCAGTGCAGTGCAGGGATATTTCCAATGACCTATCTACATAGCTTAACTTCATAATTTCTTTATTTTTTATTTTATTATTCTGATCATAGCGAGCAGTCCCTTTAATTTTGAGATTGTATTCTACAAAGAACATTGATAGAATGCTGGAGCTTCCAATATACATTATACAAGTTTGCCAAATATATTATTCTCTTTTACTTTGACCTTCACTACCCCCCCCCCCATCCTCAACCCCTCTACCACACTCCTTACAGCGGTACAAAGCAAAAACTGTGTACAAATTACATGAACCTTATATCTTGGACGGATTTTGAATTTTAAGATTATCTTCTCAAACATTTTGTCCAGGACTGGGGCGGACAAAAATAATCCCCTCCCCGTCTTAATTGAAAATATTTATACTTTGGATTTTTCCTTCTTTTTGCTTTGATTTATATAAAGAACCATTTTAAAATATCAAAGCTACATAAACTAAGTGAACGTGAAATTTCGAATATGTAATATTCAGAGCAAATTCATGGAATTCAGACATCAGGATGATGCAAAAAGGCTATTCTGTAGCCCTTTGTATGTACATTTTAGCACTATAAAGCACTTGTTGTTAGCTTTTGTTTTCAAGAAGTTCTTGGCAAAATTCTCATTTTTGCTTGAGAGCTTGAGACCTTTTAATCACAGTTTACTCCGTCCGTATTTAAAGCAAACTTTCCCCCTTTTAGACAAATTTAACTAACTAGGCTTTTAGGGCGCTTCGCGCCCATCTGTTTAAATTGTGAACAGGTTCTTTTTGTTTACATTTAAAACAAAGAAGAAAAAAATGTTGCGGATTTTTAAAAAAAAAATTCGCGGTTTTTTAAAAATTTAAATTTTTTTACAAAATTAAAAATCTTTAAAACACATTTTTTTAAATTTTTATCATTCATAAACCTTCCCTGTGGTCACGTGATGTCCCACAAAAAAATTTGGCCCAATCGGTTCAGCCGTTTTGACGTTTATTGGATACAAACAAACAAACAGACAGACAAGCCAAATTTATATATAGATTACATTTTAATGTTTTACTTGCCTTGAAGTAAGAAGATTTGTTTTAAAATGCAAAATGCAAATTTGAATTGATACACAAGATCATTCAAAACATTAAGAAATCAAAACATATATATATTGGATGGAGGTTTTTGTTTAGGTTGTTTACAGGGGGAAGGGTTGGGGGGGGGATAAAAATGCCCCCCCCTAACCCCATCTGTCTCTATCCCTATTAAATCTCATGGTTTCCTTTTCTACGTGGATTAAATCTTGACGCCCCTGGCCGGGTATAAAATTAATCATATTTGAATTATGAATTGATTTAAAGGGACTGTAAGCATATTTGAATTATGAATTGATTTAAAGGGACTGTAAGCATATTTGAATTATGAATTGATTTACAGGGACTGTAAGCATATTTGAATTATGAATTGATTTAAAGGGGCTGTAATCATATTTGAATTATGAATTGATTTAAAGGGACTGTAAGCATATTTGAATTATGAATTGATTTAAAAGGACTGTAATCATATTTGAATTATGAATTGATTTAAAGGGACTGTAATCATATTTGAATTATGAATTGATTTAAAGGGACTGTAAGCATATTTGAATTATGAATTGATTTAAAGGGGCTGTAAGCATATTTCATGTGACTAATTTATGCATAAATGGCACTGCCTAATTTACTACGTTACCCTTCAAACCGTTAACTTGTCATCGAGGAGGACAGAGAAATATGTGGTTTTCTCTTGATTAAATGGAGTTCGAGTTACCATAAAACTGGAGTGTTACGCTGACATACAGTATGAACGAAACAGAGTTAATATTCATGTATACCTTACAAATAATGAATAGTCTTTGTTTTTTTTAAATGTGTGTGTAAATATTTATTATCTGTGACTTCTATGACTTCTAGAAAGTAAATATTAACATTTCTTAAATATAAAACAGCTTGCAAACAATATGTTCAACAACATTTACACATTTTTCTGTAGATCAATAAGAATAATTCCGACAACATTGATCCGTCAAAGGTTTGTAGGGTACTGTTGTCAATCATACACTCCACTCTACAAATGGAGGATCACTTGAAATTATTTAGCGGATATAAAATACAGAAAAAAAATGATAATAAGATTGTTTGAGCTACAGGAAGATAAATAGGTTTTCTTCCACCAAAAAACATATATTTCTTTTCTGTATTTTCTGTGTTTGAAAGAAAAGAAAATTGAAAAGAATATTGTATGATTTCTCAATATTTTAATAATTAATATGAATCTGCACTTTACAACTGATCTGAAACTTCTAAAAGTCAAAATAAAATGGTCTTTTTTGGCTTAAAAGGGACTGTGGGCGCTCTGCCCCCTAGCACATCCTAGCTGCTGCAGTGCTCGGCCCAGAAATTGTAAGTTTTAACCTGACCTAACCCTGTTACAAAATGTTATCAAAATAAAAACGTAAGTTATATCTAATGTGCTGCGTTGAATACTGTTTCCAACCCTTGGATATCGATTATTGAAATTATCTCAATACATAAATAATTAAAATTGACCAGAGGAGCTGAAAACTTTAGAATGTGATATCCTTAATCCCGATCTGTTAATTAATCAGAGCTGAAAACTTTAGAATGTGATATCCTTAATCCTGATCTGGTAATTAATCTAGAGATTAAATTCATGAGGAGAACAAGCAATATTTAATCTGGAGATTAAGAAAAAGAGTGGATTAAGCATTAATCCTGATATCCACCATTCTAAAGTTTTCAGCTCAGAACGAATACTTAGTGTTGCTAATCCGTAGAGTTCACTGTGTACAATATGATAATACTAACCTTAGAGGTCGCTTCGACTGAATACATATACACTATACAGCCGGCACGAAACATGCAACGATAGAGTCTTGTAAGGTGAAGGTTAAATTTTAAAGCTCGTAGATTCTTTAGTTTTAATTTATGTGAAGTGAGAAAAGCAAAGTTATCCTGGTTATATATTATAGATTCAAATTTTTTTGTTCTTCTCAACAGTTCTTCAATATTCTTGGGTGAGTTCAGTTTGCATATGTTGGCTTCCGATAAATTGAATTGAATGTCCCATGGTCGAAACTCATGAGCCCGCGAATTAAAAACTTCGGCTCGAGTCTTAATTCCTAAATCCTTAAACCCGACTTTAAGACCCGATCTTCGACCCAACTCTGACGACAGCTTTTGTCACGTGATGAACAGCTGCAACTTGCAAGATCTTCGGCTCGACTTAAGGAGTTAGGCCCAATGAAAATAAAACCGACCTTGGTTGGTTTTAGTGCAGAATAAGACTCAATATTGAGTCTTGATCTAAAAAAACCGGAATGCGCCAATTTCTACCATGAAAATCCGCCAAATAGAATATTAAAACGGTTTTTTGCTAATCTTTGAACTCTGTGGACAATAAGATGCAGCTTGAATCCGAAACCTCAAGTTATGAATAAGACCCAACGACAGCTTAGACCCTAGCCGTATTTTCCCGATTTTTTTTAATCGCGGGCTCTGAAGGAATTACTAAATTGTAGTTTTTTTCTCAAATTTAAAAGTTGCCAATTTGGATATCGAGATCAGAAAATTGCTAACTCACTAAACAGTTTCGACCTTTGGACTACAATTCATATGCTAAGGTAATCTTGCATAATACCAACTTCAAAGATAGTTAATGAAATGCATGGATTAGAATTCATATGCAATATTATATACTATAAAACAAAGGAACCAAAAAGCTTAAAAAATTTCCAAGAAGAATGGAACTTACTTATGTCTGTATGGTCGTAACTCGTCATGGCCCGTGAAATTATCATGTTTTCTCTAAACATGAAAATTTGGCAGGCCATGACGAGTATGTGCAGCAGAGCCATAATTGAAATCCACTTTTCGTTTAAAGATTTTCCATGTTGAATCACTGAAACAAAATCTTAAACAATGTATTTAAAAAGTTGTAGAATAAAAAGATGTTTTAAATCACAGATATAAAGAATATTAACAACTAACTCATAAGTCATAAATCGTAAAATATTTACATATTTTTTATAATATGTAAAATATGTAAATAAACAGCACTTAAAACTTTCACCAAATTCAAAATATTTTAAATAACAAATATTGTTTGGAAACATTTGTATTTGAAGCTAAACAATAATCCTGAGGCAGAAGCCCAAAGAAGTTACGCGTAGTCGACAAAGAACAGACTCTCTCTCTGTCTTGTAATTCTACAGAGAGAGAGCCTTTTCTACGCCGACTACGCGTAACTGTCTCAGGGTTATTGTGAACGAACTACTTATAAATCTTGAAAAGACGACATCTAGTGTCCTATCTGTTATTTTAACTAATCTATGTATTTAGAAATAAAACTTTATAACATGTAACAATTTTTTTCTTTCTTTTATTCTATATTTTACTGATGAATTGAAATCAATTGTATATAATTATATAAACACTATATACAGGGTGTTATTTTTCCTTCATTTTGAGAGTTAGAACTGTCAGATAAACCAAACCAAAAAATCAAGGTCAGAAGGAATGTCCGGAAATTTTGTTCATGAACCCATAGATTTGTATTGGGGAACTCAGTAGAACCACGGGAATGTACTTTTGGTGACTTTTAATGGGAAAACTTAAATTTTCGGAAATTCTTCCTGACCTTGGTTTTTTGGCTTGATGAGAAGACAAGACTGTGCTCTAATGTCTTTTTGTAGGATTATCCATTATTTTAAATAGTTTCACAAATATATAGTTTTAAGAAGTTCTGGACGATTTTCTATCTTTTTTTGAGGGTTATAACTATAAAAAAAGTTTATTTTATTTTTTAAAACCCCCTGTAGGTTAAAGAAACTAACTAACATCTCCGATTGGTTGATTTACTTTTTGTTTGTATCTTTCCGTCCGTTCAAAATTTATTAATTGGTTAATAAAGTTTGGATTTGGTTCAGCCATGCTTCGAGCTTGTTTAACCCTTTTCAACGCTTCCTCAAAACTAAAAAAAAAATAAGATAATTTCTTCCTTAATAAAAATGTTCATATTAAGTCATAATTATAAAAAGTAATGTCCATACTTGGCTGGTTTGTTACACCATGGTTGAAGCGTAATTTCAAGTAACCTTTCATGCAAAGATGGCTTAAATCCCCGAGTCACAAGGATGCCATTAAAACATATATCAATAATGTTAAACATATCGTTTTTCTAGATTTAACGTGTTTTATTCTGATTATCACTATTTTTTTCTGCAGTTAGATATGCGCAAGTCACTTTTGCGGAGAAACCAAAATGAAAATAATCAGTCTTACAAATTATTAACATTGCTCTACAACTCATACATGATCAGACGACGGTTTTCAGGTTACCGTTGTGAATTATGCATTGCCATCTTTGTATTGAGGGTCAATTACATTCTCTTTAAGATGTTTGGGTGAGACAAGTTTCTTAAATTTAGTTATAAAATATAGATATCTAAGTTATTTTTAGTAATATTCAGGGTTTTACAACTATGCTATTTAGGGCCCATAAAAAAAACTAGAAAACGTGTTCATATTTTTTCTCACAATTTCTTTAATGGTCAACCCAGAATTTTACTGTGCTCTAATTAAAAACAACATAATTTTCAAGTTCTTGAATTAATTCATAGAATTATACAAGTATGAATTTATTTTTTACTAAATCATTAAACAAGATTTCTAGAAAGTACAAATGATTCTGGTACATTGGCGAACCTGTCCCAAACCTTTATTTTACAGATTATTCTTGATGTTACATCCCTAACTTTTCACTACACAGGGTTACCCACAAAGGATTAGACTGTAAAGACGACCAGAAACTCTAAAAATGTAACGATCCCAAGGTTAAATTAAGTAGATTTATCTACTGGCTTAATCACTGATTTGGCAAAGAAACAACCAAGTTATAGTTGGAGGGAATCATGAATAAAAGGAAACAGATTAATCCCGTATAATCGTTTATGAAGTTTCATTCTTTGCGGGTAACATGGTACATGTACCTGATGTTTAAAATCCTACGCAAATGGAAGACGACTACAACAGCTGATCTGGATTTTCCCTGTGCACAATGAACTGAACAAAAATTTTAATTTGTGCGACTTTTCTAAAGAAACAAACATCCATTAAATTTTATTTTTATTATCATTAAATGCAAAAAAGGGGATAAACGTAGTAAGAATTACAATATTGGTTTTCTGTTTGTTTGGTTTTGTAGGTGTTGTGGCAAGGAACTATATACAGGAACGCCCAACTCAGATATACGCATATTATGTACTGTACACTATGGGAGGAATGTAAACAAACCCAGTGCCCCCACAGAAGTTGAAGGGAAAGGAAAGTACACAGATTTGACGCATGAGATAAGGCGGTTTCTGGTCTATATATTTCTTGGTGTTGTGTGACTTCACAAGTAATAAGTACAAAGGGAACATACACTCAAAACATCCTTATAGAAGACAAACAAGTTATATTTACCCAATACAGATGATCCTAGCTCTAGATAATGTTGTATTCTCTCAGATATTCTGGTTAGTTCAGCAAAGTCTAGAACTTGTTCAAGATCATCGGAGAGATCAATAAACAGATCTTCGATCTCAGTCAGTTTCTGATGACGTTGTTCCAACTAAAATTAATAATTTAATCTTAAAGATGGCTGTACACGAATTTTCAAGAACTCGGGCATTAAAAATATTTTAAATAAAAAACGTTCGATTCACAGCAATACCCTTTGAACTTCTTTCTGATGAAGATAACCACATTATTCATTTGAAATGTGTCGAATTCTCACAAATTCCTTCATTGAGCTGCAGCAATAATCTGCAAATCACTTTTACACAGAACCCAAAATTGAGAGTAATCAAGATTTAGCTAAAATATAAGGATATCTCATTTTTCTTTAACCAGGCTAAGGTTTAAAGTGTACCACAGGCAAGAGAAAATGGCACTCTAAAAGTAAGTGAGTCAAAACTTCAAGAGAAATGAGACCAAATCCCTAAAATTAGTTGTTAAATTAAAAACTAAGTATTTTTCACCTGTTGCTTGTATTTCGGACCTAGAACTCTTTCTAAACCTCCAGCTGTACACACCACCAAACCAACCTTCTTGTTTTTTAGGTTTTCTATGTTTAATCCAGCTTTGTACCCGCCCATGTACAGACCTCCTGAAGTACAGTATAATACTTTAGTAATTGTAAACAGAAATATAAAAATAACGAAACAAATATAATTTATTGCACACATAATTTTACCTCCTGTTTCGTCCAGCAGCACTGAAAGAAACTCAAGCAATAGTCAACATTTTTAGGTAGGATTTCTTAATAGTCTTGGAGTTTTTATGTCTCATATTGTAAGAAAATTTAAAGACGTCAAAAGTAAGTTTATGAATGGGACCAAAATGTCTAATTTTAAGTGAGCCTTTAGTTTAAAGAGCCATTAACTTAGTTCTGAAACTTTATATTAGAAACTATGATTGAAATATCTTTATTAGAAATAAAAACACTTGCTTTTCTTCGACCAGATTATTTCTAATATTTTATCAATATTTCAAGGTTTAGAACAATGATTGATTTCTCCCTAGGGTAGGTATAGAATCTACAATATACTCTAGAGCACTGCAGATCTAGAATAAATTCATCAATCAATTAAAATAAATAAAAAAAGTATAAAAATATAAAGTTTATGCACTACATTCTTTTTCTGTTGACCAATCAACTGCAGTTTGATAATATGTATAATATTTACATTAACTTTGCAACCCAGCTTTGCGTTAACTCCCTGAACACTTAGTTTTCCATTAGAAAAGTCAACTGAATAGAACTCTTGTGGTAAATCGGTCAAGGGGTTTATGAGTTATGCTCCGACATACAAACAGACAAACATAAATCACTTCTTTATACATATATAAATAAATTTAATGTAATATATATTTTAAGTTTGCACCTGTTCCTTTGTTGCTCCGATGTGACTTTGTATCTAAAATTGAGAAAAACATTGAATTTTTTAACAGTTTCTTTTTGGTAATTTGCAATTAGAACATAAATGAAAATTGTATAGTTATTATGAAGGCAAAAAGGTAGATTACATTTATTGTTAAGCTGAATTATATCTATAATTGGAAAAATTAGGTTTAGGATATATGTATGATATAATATATCTGAAGAAGACGACAGAAGACGACTTCTTTTGAAGAAATGAGAAGTGAGAACCATTGTTCTAAGTTTTATATGTAAAAATGTCGGCAAATAAACCAAGGAGTCCAAATTAAATTGTCTTTCTTTAGAACTAAAATTTCTTTAATTGAATTAAAGGAATTGAGTCTTTGCCGAATATAACTCAAATTTCCTAATCCCTTTATATTTGCAACCTGATGGATATTTCAAACTTGGATTATTTGATCTAACAGAATTCATAGTTTAAAATATCTTATGTCTATGATATTGGGATGCAAGGATGGGGATAAGAAAATCATAGTTTGTCGCCAAAACTCAATTCCTGTTTACCTTTTTGCTACATATTTTGCACACGTCTGATTTAAATTGATTAGGATCAAAGTTAGGACAGCCTAGAGATAAACAGTTTTTAATCTAAATCAAATTATAAGAAAAATGACAAATGAAAAGATGTTTGTTCAGTAAAACAGTTAAACTTAATGGTATTTTGCACTTATTTTACTGCATTTTCACAAAAGAATTTGTTTTATATCATTATTAAAATATTATTCTTAAGAAAAAATTGATATTTTTCATTTCTATTAATTTAAACAATGAATAAAATTCGTAGAAAATCATGAATATCATTTTCATGCTTTCGCATTACCGAACATCTTTTTAACAGTCAAATAATAATAAAACTGGTGTTAAACATTTTTTTAGAAAACTTATTTTTACAACAATTTTTTCTTAACCTGAGTCTCCAGTGAAGCAAATTTGTGCACTAGCCGTCATATTTTCTTTTTTTTGCAAAACGTTTCTTTAAAAATGATTTAAAAAGGATAATTTCTTTTGCCTATGGCTTTTGGAAACATATGAACCCAATCATGAACAAAAATATCGAAAATTTTACGATTATAGCGGTTTTCGAAAATTCGAAAGTAAACGTCTATTTCCTGGAACTTAAAAAAAATAAATATCAATATTTCTTGAAAACAAGAAAACAAATGTTCAACAGTTACAATTATTTTTGTAAATTAATAAGGATAATTCATTCACTTTGACGATTAGAAAAATACGCATTACACAGAAACAGTTAAACTTGTTAAGAAATAAAATTGAATAGACTTTGCACATTTATCTTTAAAATCGAATTTTTGATGGTACAACACAATCTTTATTAAGGTTTATCAATTCAGTAATTTTTATGCAGTATTGTTTCAAATGTTTCTATGTTTTCACTTTCTATATGTTGCTATATAATGAGTCACCATATAGAAAGGCAGAAACTCAAACACAGACTAAATTTTTATATCAGCTGATATTTGTAAACATACAGGGGTGTCTTGCCGAGAATAATGTCATTAGTAGGGAAATATATGTCGTCTTTTTGAAAAATATTGCGGCATTTGTTTGCTCGTGCATGTTTATTAAGGCATCCTGAATTCACTTGTAGGATACTTACCCACGTCAAACTAAACTAAACTAGAAGTAAGATCGAAATCTTTCATGTTTTTTCTTATAACTTCTATAATCGAAGAACTATTGAAATAAACAAAAACAAATTTAATTGCTTATAATCATCTAAATAAATTTCTTTCTCATTATTTTGAATAAAATCGGAACTATGAGGAGCAACTTAAGTTCACAAAGTCGTAACAGCAATGTCAATGAAATTTGAACTTCTCCTCCTGGAGTGCTTGTGTACTAACATTTTAGACCATAAATCATATCTTGAAACCTTTCTCCAATGGTGTCGTCTTGAAACCAAATCCCCCTCCCATGGAGCCGAAACCAAACCCAACCTCCTCCATCAATAGACGCTAGCTCCGTGAAACGTGAAAGCATGGTTTAAATAGAAATGCTTAAAATTCGTGATTCGCTGCAAACAAAAACTTTTGTAACCAACCGGGTATTTTTTTTCAGAAGTCGCAAAACGTTTTATTCTTTAACAAAAAATCCTTTAACTACTATTCACAAAATTTCACGGTGATAGTGTCAAAAATTAGAGTGCTAGGACAAAAAACTGTTTAGGGTTAACCAAATATCATAACGATTTTGACCAACATTTTAACTACATTAAAATATTGTTATCCATGTTTAATACCTGTAAATTATTACAGGTTTGAAATACAGTTTGTACTTGTGTATGTAGAAGAGAACGGATATCTGCCCAAGCAAATTGGAGCCCTTTTGAACTCAACAAACATATATTACGATTAAGCACAAAAAGAAAAATTAACATTCAGCGATGTTCTACATTTCGGGGGGGTTTTATTCTGTCTACTAGAGTTTGAATTTTTCTATAACAAAATCTTATTCTTGTATTTACGAAAAAATAACACAGTAGAATCATTATTTTAAGTTTAAATTGAGATTTGAAATGAATCCAAATTTGAAGTTAATACAAGAATGATTAAAACCATATTAAAGGGAGTGTTCGTGAAAATTAAAGGGGGTATAGGCTTAATGCGATAAAAAAGCGCTTTTGATCGCTACTAATCTTACTTCTATCTGTTGCGTCTATAAGGAGAAACTTGTTAAAGACGTCTCATACCGAATAACTTAGCGCCCATACAAATTGAGAAAATTGCAACATACAACTTAGACCGTAAAAAATCCATTTAATTTCAAACAAATCATTAAGATAGAACAACCTATAGTCATCGATTATCTTTCGCCACATTTGTATATAGTTTATATTTAATAATATTTTATTTTTTTCAGAAAACGTTTTAACTGATTTCGAAAAGTGTGAGTGGTGCGCGGTATTCTTAGATAGTTGCGCAAGCGAAAAGAGAAATAATCAAATTCAAAACAAATTAATTAAAAAATATTATAAAATATAAACTATATACAATTATGTGGCGAAAGATAATCGATGACTATAGTTTGTAATATCTGAATAATTTGTTTGAAATTAAATTGATTTTTTACGGTCTAAGTCGTATGTTGCATCTTTCTGAATTTGTATGGATACTACGTTCTTCGGTATTAGTCGTTTTAACAATTTTCTCCTTATAGACGCAACAGATAGAAGTAAGATTAGTAGCGATCAAAAGCGCTTTTTTATCGCATTAAGCCTATAACCCCTTTCATTTTTCGCAAACACTCCCTTTAAAACGAACAAATCACTTAAAACATAATCTAGAAATACAGCAAATTATTTGTCTTGAATTTCTAGTTTTTGTTTATTTCAATAATTTCAACAAACATATCAGGCATATTTAGTGTTAGTAACATTTTATGTTAAGAAAAATTCTAAAATAATACTCACAAGCCACTCTATATTTTCTTGTTGTCGTTGCTGTGCTTACTAAGGTTGTTAATGTGGTTGTTGTAGTTGTAGTTGTAGTTTTAATTGTAGTTGTAGTGGTAGTTGTAGTTGTAGTTGTAGTTGTAGTTGTAGTTGTAGTTGTAGTTGTTTTTGTTGTTGTTTTTGTTGGTGGTGGTGTTGTTGTTGTTTTTGTTGTTGTTGTTATTATTGTTGTTGTTGTTGTTGTTGTTGTTGTTGTATAAATACATTCTGCAGGCTTCATGTGGCCAGTAATCCCAAGGGCATTTAATTTTCTTCCCCTTGTAGTATTTTTGAGAAAACAAGTTTCATTTGTATTCCAATAAAAAGATTGACATGCACTTTAATTCAGAATCCATGATATGTCAAGTTATAAAGTTTTTGGTTTTCTTCATTTCATTTGACCAGACTATTAACTTTTCTAGACCGATGCACATTTGGGTTTTTTTACCGTCCGCCTGCAGGCGGCATTTTAGATCAAAAATAATACATCTTAACAAGCTTATTGTTTCAACATGTTTTAAAGTTGTCAAGATTGAAAGGAATCTAACAAATAACGGATTACCGCGTGTAAGGATATTAACAAAAATTAAATCAAATTGTTCTTGTTACAGAAATTGAATTGAAATGGCAAATAACTTTTGGGTATAATTATTAGATAATCAATAGATTTAAAATCAATATCATAGAATGTCCTGAAACTGCTGCATTCACAGAAGCACTGCTCCAAAGTATTAATACCTCCAACTAAAATTATGAATAAAAGGACTATGAGCGTCAGTAGTGTATTTTGGGTATACTATGCTATTGTCTTCTTGCAAAGATCGCATTGCTTGATTCACAACGGTACCCTATAAAACCTTTATAGGAACAATAATGTAAAAGATATTGTAGTTGTTCTTGGTAAAAAAGTCTTCAATTCTGATCCTTCCCTTTATGTTTTCCTGCAGTAGAAATGCTTGCAAGTCACCTTTTAGATAAACAACAATTGAAAATTATCAGTTTTCAAACATTGATCTCTTATTCATATTGTTTTCAATCTGACATTGACATCTCTACGCAGGTTACCATCTCTACGCAGGGAATGAAAAAACCTTTATTGTCTTAAGAAGAGCAAATAAAATCTATGCTTTATCACTTATTCTCATTATGATGACATTACTTAAAAAAGTGTTCATAAGTTGTAAGTACCTTTTACAATGGTATTTCCATCATATTCTACACCATTCTCCGTACAATAGTCAGTTTTACTCGACTCAAAGTCTAAAAAAGGTTGCTGTAGTATTTTTAAATTATCTCCAAGGAAAAGGGCAAAGGAAGTGAGTCTTTGTCACAAACTATGATTTTCTAATCTCTATATCTTTGTAATCCAATGCCGTAGACCTTAGATATTTTCATACAATGAATTATGTTAGATGAAAAAATCTAAGTTTGAAATATCAAAGGTTTACACCATCAGGTGGAAAAAATATAGGGATTAGAAAATCAGAGTTTGTTACAAAGACTCAATTCCTTTATGCGTTATTACTGGTACAAACTAATAACTTAGTGGCTCCTCTAGTTTTTATTTTAAACCTAAAAGAACTCCTCATAATAGGCTGATAGCTTCACTTACAACTTAAATCTAACAACATCGAAGTGTCTGTATCGGAGTATTCTGGACTTTAAACCAGGACCTCTAACTAACTGTGGAAGTTTTGGATCAAAATTCTTGGAGATATAAAGTCAGGTAGAGAAGTATCATGAAAGTATCATTGAAACACTAATGCTTGCATAATATTTAGGGTTTATACAGTTCACACCATATTGGATCATTGACTTTTAACAGTTTTATTGTGATGCAGTGTGTAAATCAATATATACAACCTTTTTCTACCATTTCAGCGATAGAACAGTTGAATATCCCCGAGATGACATCAGTATTTAATGTTTCTTCAGCTGCCTCATATTTACACCAACAGTAACCAGAGCTTAACCAAACAAAACTTTTGCTACTGCTAAACCATTAAATTCAATAATCTTAAAACTAATCTTATTCCAGTTATAATAGTTTCAATTTTTTCGGTCTGGTCGCACTCGGAAGAGGGCAAACAGTGTCAAAAATACAGCATTTTCGACCTAAATTAATTTTATCATCGAACCCCCCCCCCCCCCCCCCCCCCGGGTTTAAATTTCTTTTGATTTTAATTTGTCCGAAAGTAAATGATACATTGTAGAATTCAATGAAAATTGTTGCATACCAAAAACCACCTTTACATAAAGAAATGGAACAATGATGCTAATTTGAAAATCCTAAAGTTTGACGATTTAAAAGTCTGATTGGGACAACTTCCGTAGACTGTCTACGGTGTACACTGTGAATTTAAATCAAGTAAAAGTTACAGCATTTGAATTTGAGTTATTGAATCTATTCTTTAAAAAATTTGTTTATTTTCCACCTAAAGTAGGGTTTTGGATATTATTACGTTTTTTCAAAGATCTTGTACTTGCAACAAATTAAATATCAAAGTTATAAAATATAGTGGTCTGAACATTTTAATTAAAAACTACAATTATTTGAACTTTTTCCAATTTTTACAGAACAAATCTCTTAATCCAAAGTCTCATCCTTTACTGATGGTTAGCTATCAACTTTTTACTTCAGCTTGTTATCAAATTACAATTTGCTTGTTTTTCAAAACAATTTTGAAATAAAGTGGTTTCCTGATTGTATTGCAATGGCAACTGCACTCTTGAACTGTTGGCATAACTATACGAGTGTGCCCTAAACAATGGTTATACATAGATTATAAAGATAATGAAAATTATTATGAATTTATTTAAAAATTTAGATTACGTTGCTTTTTATATTTATTATATATCAGAACCGGATCGATCATATTTAAGAAATAAAAACGAGAAAAAAGATAATCTTTGCTGTCTTAATACCGAACTTCCTTATATGTATTTCTGATTTAGGGTGATTTGACATCAGCATGTTTACATACAGTTCACAATATACTACTTTAGAGCTAAACTTTTCATTCATTATATAAGAATTTTAAGCAGCGTGCATTATGTAGAATGCGTGCACTGGTTGTAAAAATCCAATAAACATCCTTAAAGTGAAATAAATCATCCCACAAGGAAGTTAAACCCGCAGATCAAGTAGTAGATTTATTATTGACGCAGATTCTCTAGCCTGAAAGAGATTTACTAAACAGTCAGCTGCATATAGCTGTAGATTGGAGGTGGGGGGATGAAAATTTGAACAGTGTGTTAAACAGTGGTTCCGGGAGGGACCGTGACTATAACTTAGTCTCTGTATTTCTGGAAATACAAATACTTTCGTTCTTTAAGCCCAATGTGCTATTTTACATGAAGGTTGCGACACATATAAACCCTGCATCTATTTATCTACCTAATCATCTGTGGTTAAACTACATTTTTAAATTGAAAATATTTAAGAGAAAGTACGGTTTTGATTGGTGGAAATACAGTGTATTTAAGATAGCAAGAGAAAGGAAGAATATAATTACCAGGAATATCTTTGCCAGGAAGGTCAACCCCTGGTAGATAGCATTCTGGAGGAAAGTTACAGTCATCTAGATTGATCAATTAATCAATTGGTTATAAATTTATTATTATATTAATTGATTGAATACTTGATTGATTAATTGAATGTTTTATTGATTTATTAATTGATTGGTAATATTATTGATTTATTAGTTAATTTAATTGATTGATTTATCAATTGATTAATTCATTGATTTATTAATTGGTAAATTGATCGATTGATTAGGTGGTTAATTGATTACTATATTGCTTTTTTAATTGATTGATTAATTCATCAGGGCTTTGTCATTTTATTAACGCTGCTTGCCCTAAGAACTCAGACAAGCTAAACAATTCCATTATAATTATTTCAAATATTCACAACATTTTTCTCCAAATTTTTTCAAATATGATGTGGGACACCCTGCATTATTTATTTAAATGTCATCAAAACGTCATTGCTAATAGGTCACAATTATTTTTGAAGGATGACAATTTATTTTAACAAGTGTAATGGCAATTTATCTTAACCCTTTCATGACGGGGAAAATCTATATAAGAGAAAAATTGCACAACATGAAAATAACATGTATTCCATATGTCTCATGTTCTATGTTTAATATATTGGACATATAATTCAAGATTCTTAATGATATGGTAATAAAGCTGAGGCAAGAATGTATTGGATTTTTGTAATGTCATTTAATCTGTCAGACAGCATTCAAAATTAAGCTTTAATGTTTAAATCAAAGGTTTAATTGTATGAATTGTATAGAACAAATAAATTGAGCTATTTAGTTTTATATTTTGGTCTATTATACATAATGTGTAATAAATGTTTTTAGGTTTTGGTTCATGTTTCATTGCAAAAATTGTTCCATTCCTAATGGGGTTTCTGATAGGAGCTATTATTTATTTAAAATTAGGGCTATTATCATTCTAAATCATGACCAATGTTATTTTGTCAACGTATAAAATAAATTAAAATAATATATACAGGGATACCCACAAAGGATAAGACGACTGTGCAGAATCTATACTGTCCGTTTCCGTTTATACTATATATTCATAATTCCCTGCAATCGTAAACTCGTTTATTTCACAAGCAAATCATTAATATATTAAAATAAGTCATTAAAAGATTATATTTAAGGTAAAAGACTTAATTTAGCCTTTGTATCGTCCGTCATATCAAAATTTCAGATCGTCCGACATATCAAAGTTTCAGATCGTGTCATATCAGAGTTTCAGATCGTCTGTCATATCAGAGTTTCAGATCGTCCGTCATATCAGAGTTTCAGATCGTCCGACATATTAGAGTTTCAGATCGTCCGTCATATCAGAGTTTCAGATAATCCGTCATATCAGAGTTTCAGATCGTCCGACATATCAGAGTTTCAAATCGTCCGTCATATTAGAGTTTCAGATCGTCCGACATATCAGAGTTTCAAATCGTCCGTCATATCAGAGTTTCAGAGCGTCCGACATATTAGAGTTTCAGATCGTCCGACATATCAGAGTTTCAGATCGTCCGTCATATTAGAGTTTCAGAGCGTCCATCATATCAGAGTTTCAGATCGTCCGACATATCAGAGTTTCAGAGCGTCCATCATATCAGAGTTTCAGATCTTCCGTCATATCAGAGTTTCAGATCGTCCGACATATCAGAGTTTCAGATCGTCCGACATATCAGAGTTTCAGATCGTCCGACATATCAGAGTTTCAGATCGTCCGTCATATTAGAGTTTCTTATCGTCTTTTCTGTCTCATTCTTTGTGAGTAACCCTGTTCTGCCAATTTTAAGTTGAACTGTCTAGTATGGGGAACATATAAGTGATGAATGGTCTCAAATTCTAAACATTAGTGGATTTTTAATTCCTTTTCAATAATTTCTTTCTTTAAAGCCTTTAAAGATAAGAGGAAATAATGGTCGCTTTCAAAAACGATCACAATACATTAGAGGTCAAAACTTGTTTGTGAGATTGCACTAATCTACAATGCATGCTGTTTGTCGATATGGACACTGAACAGTGACAACTTTTAATATTACTGGATAAGTGCTTGATCACTTAATTTTTGTTATCCATGCAGGGTATTACCAATGGGGCTGAGCATGTTAAGACTTTTTTTCAACCTGTTCGTTAATGGTTAGTTAAAATAACGGGACGAACAACTTTCTGCCATTCTTGTTTTAAACCTTGTCCAGCTTCAACATCTTATACTTCGGTAAATAATTTAATCTGTACGGCTTCACAGGATAAATTTACAAACACACTGACACAAACTCTGATTTTCTAATCCCTATATCATTGCAACCCAATGTCGTAGACCTTTGATATTTCAAAATATCAATTCTGTTAGATCAAATAATGTAAGTTTGAAATATCAAAGGTTTACATCATCAGGTTTGAAATATATAGAAATTAGAAAACAGAAGTTTGTGACAAAAACTAGATTAAAATTTATTTACTTTCATTTGAAGTTGATTTTGTAGTTGTAGTTGATGTTGTAGTTGTAGATAATTCTAAAACTGGTTTTATTATTATTGTTGTTGGTCCTTGACAACTGATGAATCCTGATATACAATCATGGCCAAAGATAGGATCAGAAACTGATTCTGATTTGCAATAACAATCTCCAAATGTTCTCCAGGTAAACAATTCGAAATCACTTTAAAAAAAACCATATCAAGTGTTTAAAAATGTTAATAAAAGGCTGTTACTCATTTAAAGGACTGTCATAATTTCGAGTTACCTCCCTATTAAAAAGGGACATGCTCGATTAGCAACAGTACTCTTAAACCTTTTGTCACAACACCCCAAGATTAATAATAACCGATTCTTATACTGAAAAACAGGAATAACATGAATCATTTTTCATACACAAAAGTATAAACAAATTGTTGTGTTCTTTTCAAATCAAATTCATCATGATTCATGATTCATGACCCTGGAAATTGCCTGAAAAGAATTTGCTTTCAATGTTTGATATTCAAGGTTAAAGAAATTTAGTCTTTGCCTCAAACTTCCAAATTCTTATTCTATGCAACCTGATGGTGTAAACCTTTAATATTTCAATTTTATTTTATCTAATGGAATTCATTAAATCTACGACAACGACATTATAATGAGAAAATCAGATTTTGTTGCAACGACTCAATTAAAAAAATTTTGAAAATAAACTAAGTTAAGAAAATATGGTTTCCTTGAATTACTGCACAAGCATCCACATTCTCGGGCAGATTTAACATTCTCAAATCTGTATCCTAAGTTGGTTTTCAGTTGGAAGGAATTGGATGAATAGATATTTGAGAAGCTTATATAACACCCAAATTTAATGAATTTGAGCTAGGTCGCTAAACTATCTATATCGTCGATTCAAATACTTATCCTTAGTTCTGCAGTGTAGTTGTTTACATGTTTATAGTACATGGGAACTATGATTCTGGATTTTTCTTTGTCCTATATTTGATTACTACACTGCAGAATTATAATATAATTATTTGAATCTACGGTAGGTATAAGTTCTGCGACCTGGCTTAAATTCAGTAAATTGATAATAATATAACAAATGTTCAAACTACAACTGCAAAAACATTAACAATAATTATTCTTTTTGTTGATTTAGGCTACTCCCTTTTTTGCCATATATTGATAGCTGTTAAGGATAATATCTTTAAAAAATTTTTTTGGATATACTATAATTAACCTAGGTTATTTTGAATTTAATTGAATCCTAACCTTTGATGTCAGAGCCTGGATAACAGACTTCCTGCTCATAACACTCAGATGGAATACAATCTGAACAAATGACTTTGTTTGTTTTTTATTCACAGTGCTTTTCTACGAAACTATGTGATCAGAATTAAATGATAAAAAATGGCTTCCAATTATTTGGACTACTTGTTGAATCTGGTGTTATGGGTTCATTTGGACTACTTGTTGAATCTGGTGTTATGGGTTCATTTGGGCTTTGGCTTTGTGTGGTAGTTGTGATTTCATTTGGGCTTTTAACATCTGGTGTTGTGGGTTGAATTGGACTTTTAGTGTCCACTGTTTCTGTTGAACTGAAAGTATACATCGATGTTGTTGTTGAACTGCTTGTTGCATTGATTTTACAATTATAAACACCCGACGTGCTGTATCTGTTCTTTTGGCTTTTTGGATTACTTTCTGTTATACAGTGACAACTGATATAAATAAATTCTTTTCTCCATGTAAACGCAGTGCAACCACTAAAATACATCTCTTTTATACATATGTACATTCAATATACAATATGCATATAAAGCTAGTTACAGCCTACAGGTGAAGCTATAATACATAAAAAAATTGTAGAAGTGAATTTAAGAAAAAATGGATGAAAATAGAGGAAATTTGAATATAAAATTGGACTGTAGAGTGTAGAGTGTAGACTTAAATTCAAATTCCAGTTCTATTAGAGAATACCATGTCAAATTCACAACGGTATACGCCTTCAACAACACTGTGGAAGATATTTTCGTTTTTCTATCTGAAAAAGTGATAAATTCTAATGATTTCGTTCTTTTTCTCTGTGGCTTAAATTAGTTAGTCCCTTTTGTGAAAAAACACAACTAAAAATAACAATTTTTATTTAAAAAAACAATGATATTTTATTTATCTTTGAGCAGACAATTGCATCGGACATGCCACTCTACACTTAATATTGCGTCTGTTACAGTACTCTTAATGGGGGGGGGGGGGTCAGAAAAAGTTTTATATATAAATATTTTTTAATGCTTTTAAAGTTACCTAATGTCAGCGCACTGACAGGAACATTCTTGGTAGGATGCTACAAAATAGAATGTTTTCTCAACTGCAAAAATTAAATCAATTAGATATTTTGAATACTCAATTTTAAATCCACATTTCAATTGCAGTGTACAATGCAATCCACAGTAAAAAGTGTATCTAAAAACTTAAATAGGAATTTATAATGCTTCAATTTAAGGTTTTTTTTTTAATGAATTCTTGAAAACTTTGGAGTTCAGGTGATCACATAAAAGGTTTTTTTTTAAAACCCTTGAACAAGTTAGAAATTTTAATTTTATTTTTTGTATTTTTTCAACGAATATTTTGATTTTCACATTATCAACCAACTCAAGTTATTTCACTTGATATATTTACTTTTATGATTAACTAGCTTGGGAACCCAGCACTGCGAGGGGGGAGTACAGAAGTCCTCACTTGTTAATCACAGCCAACCAAACATGTTTTGCGGCATGTGCACTCCTCAATTTGTAATCACCGAAAAATCTTGTTTTCCGATATTTTAATTCAATGCATTTTGACACAGTTTTCGATATCTATCCGGGTTTCATGGCATGTGCATTGGCTTAAACTAAATTTTCAATTTGTTTTCAGATTGGCTTGGTCAGCAAAAACTGAGAAACAAGATATAGTTAATCCCGCCGTTTACCCGCACTTGGACGATTTCGTCGGGAAACTAAATTTTCGCTATTAAAGCTCAATTTAGAATCTCATAACCAAGCTAAGAACATTCCCGTGGAACATCCGAGTTCACAAATCAAAATTTTAAGCAAATTGGTCCAGGGGCTCCTGAGTTATGATCGGAATAACAAACAGACAAACGGAGATTACACCTTTATATATAAACTAGCTTGGGAACGTAGCGCTGCACAGGTTACTAAAAGTTACTCATGCCGTTTACCCGCATTAGAACGATTTTACGGGGGAACTAAATTTTCGCTAATAAAGTCGACCCACCCCACTTAGAATCTTTAAATAAAGCTAGGAACATTCTCGTGGATCTTCCGAGTTCCCCAATCAAAATTGTAAGCAAATCGGTCCAGGATATCCGAGATCAGACAAACAAACAGACAGACAAACGGAGATTACATCTTTATATTTATAGATTATCAGATAAACTAAAGTTATAAATACCCTGAGATAGAGTGTTATATTCCACAGACGTCTCATAACAGCTCGGGTCAATGCAGTCTAATCAGGTCGAAAAATATGTTTTAGAACGATAACATAAACTTTCTTGGTGTTTTGTATCCCTTTTATTGGCATGGTTTTATCTAGATTTTAATCCGTTTTTGTTTTTCAAAATTTTAACAAATCTAAACATTTTGACTTGCCAAAAACGTTTTTGGGTTTAAGTGAGACTCTCACAAAGATATTGGGCCTAATCACCAGTTTTATGAATATTTATCTTTTTGATTTAAATGGACAGCTTTATTTAATTTTCTGAAGATATTATTTAAAAATAAATCTTTGTCTATGTTTTTTTTCTAATTAGATAAGGTATCTACAAAAATGAAGGTAATGTTATTTTTTATTTACACTGTCCATCATTTGAAATAAAGTTGCATTTAAGTTATCATTTTGCCTACCTTCACCAAAAACATTTAGAATGCAGAAGTATGTTATGCTAAATCTTAGCACCCACATGCTGACTGTTCCCAACTGTAGAATGAAAGGAAGGCTACTCTGTTTAAATAGAAAACTCTGGGTGCAAAATATCATAATGGCTCATTTATTATTCATGGATATACAGGCATATAAAGACATTATAAAGGGTTTCAGAGCGATAGTTTTAATTATTAACTAACCAAAGTGCCCGGCGTTGCCCGTGGAATTTTTTTAAAAATCCAATGTAAAAAAAATAGATTGTTGAATAAATAATCGAAATATTTTTGTCTTTGTTACCCCCCTAGGTGCCCATGATTGTCCTAAAAAATAAGTCAATAAGTTCATATTACATATTTTTTTTACATATTTTTTATTTGAAATTTAACAATAATTTTGAATTTTAAAATATTGGGTACAGATAATTTAGAAATATTCTATTATAATTCTTCGTCATCTTATTTTCCGCCTCGATGTTTCCTTTTCTTCTTTCGTTGACTAACCCTTCCACCAATTTTGGGGAAAAAAGAAATTTTTGTCAAAATTTGAAGAAAAAAAATCGACTTTCCTTAGCTCAGAACTGTCAATACACTTGACTAACTAGCTCGTAAAACCCCTGCAAGGTTTTTTTCTGTAAACTCTGAAGCCAGCATTATTTTGTTTTGTCTATGCAACACAAGTTCAAAATATTCCCGTAGTTTTACCGAGTTCCCCAGTCAAAATTTAAGGTAAATCTGTCAAGGGGTTCAGGAGTTATGCGTTATGCTCAGGCGACGGGCATACAACCAACCAATTAAACAAACAGGGATAACTACTTTATATACAGGGTTACACACAAAAGGATGAGCCTGTAAAGACGACCAAAAACTCTTAAAATATTACAATTACAATTTTAAATTAAATATTTTGTCTTAAGTATTGTTTTATGGCCCTTTTAATGATATGGCAAAGAAAGAAATAAGTTTTTAGCTGCAGAGATTCAAAAAAATAAGAACACAGACGGTAGAAATTCCGTGAAATCGTCTCTGAATTGTCTCATTCTTTCTGGTCAACCCTGTTTATTTGTTGTTCTTTAGGGTGGGGATGTATTTTGTAAATTCACGTATAGAGATTATCCTGCCGATCTTGCATTGGTCAAATCTGAGGCAGGAGTAGGACTATAGTACCAAGGTAATAAGGCAAGGAAAATTAATTGCGGTTGCGTATTCTCTGCGTACATATTGAAACCAGTTCTCTCTGGGCGGTATATGTAAACAAGCACTATTGATGGATCTGCAGTATTCCTTTATAGTATCCGAGGCGGATAAAAGCATTTAATTTTGATAATTCACATAATAGTTTCCTATGATTAGAATATTTCATTGATTTTTTATGTGAAAGACAGTACACTGCAGTACACCTCTTGAATAACTATTTTTACATTATAATTCTTTAAAAAGTATTATAAAGACAGAGAATAGCTCTTATAATGGGCCGGAATTCCGGCCTGGTATTGTATATTTTACTTGCAGTCAAATAATTACATCACATTCTACCTATAAAAATGTTGTCATTAATGTCTGAAAACTCCCGTTCATTTTAAGTATAACACCGACTTTTAGGCAGCTAGAGCAAGTTGTAGACGGTATATATACAATACAGCCTTTAAATTGTTAAACTGGACATATGAATTATCCCCTTAGGGAGATTAATGTGTAATGATTTGTGAAGCAATAAATCATTTTAGAGATATACAAAATAAAAATTCACTGGATCATTTAATAGCTTGAAAATAAAGATTATTTTGCCGAAGCATATTCACATATAAAAATCCAAAACTTTATTTCTCACACTTGAAAATTTTTATAATACATATTTATTCTCCAAGTTTCCAAGTTCTTAAACTACACTACAATCATAAAGAAAGTTTCTATAAAGATTTGTCGGAATTTCCCCATTGTTTACTAACATCTGTACTGCAGGTAGAATTGTACAAGGGAACAGGTTCTCTATCAAAACTTGTCGAACTTTTTCCATGCTCAGTCTGAAGAATAACAGAAAAAATATCATTCTGCAAAATCCATTAAAGGGACTGTAAGCGTAATTTCAAGTGACCTTCCATTCAAAGAGAGCAAAGCCCCATTTATAACGATATCCTTGAAAACTTAATCTGATCAGAAATGTGGAAGGTAACTTCGTTTTATTCACTTGTAAGAGTTTAGTTTTATGAATTTCTCCATTGGTGCTTAAAATCAAGAAATGCGCAAGGCACTTTTGAAGAGAAACCCCAAATTAAAATATACAGTTTGAACAAACAAAATATGCATATCTAGTTCATACTTGATCAGACAAAGCTTTGAAGGATACCGTTGTGAACATTGCCATGTTTGCATGTAGGGTCTCATAAAATGATGCTTACAGTCCCTTTAATATAGATAAAATGTTAAACTAGGTACGTACATTTATCCTATGAAACCAATTTTAATGGACAGGTCAGCAAAAGGAGTTGAATTATCCACATATAGTTAGATTACTTCTTTTTTATAATAAGGTGTAATTTAATCCAACAGAATTCATAGTTTGAAATATCAAAGGGATTAGAAAATCTGAGTTTGTGACTTGAACTCTGTATCTTTATGAACAAGAAGAGAAAAGTAGCTAAGGAAAATAGAATAGTTAAACCTGAGAAGAGTTCCAGGCGTTGAGATCATTTTCCTATATTCTTCCTCGTCTTCTGGGCTTAAGCCGGGCAAATCATTGGATAATAACATTCGTCTAAATCAGATATATTTTTCTTCTGAAACTATCAGGTTGGGCACATTATTAAATAATAACATTTTTCTAAATCAGATATATTTCCCCCCTAAACATGTTAGGCCAGACAAATCATTGGATAATAACATTCGACTAAATAAAATATTTTTTAAAGATTCAAAGGAAAGGGGTTGGAAATTTGATGTTTTAGAGGCGCGAGATACATTGAAACCCATTGCAACTTTATGAGCATTTGATGTTGTTGTTAATATAAAGCAAATAGCTTGAAAATAAACTTTTTAAGTCGCTGTGTTTTACGTTTAATGGCGTATTCAAAATAATAACTTAAGTCCAGCTGAGTTTCGCAATATTTTAGGCATTTCGTCAGTATGGATAGTTTTTAACCTTAAAGCCCTGCCTACCTCTTTTTGCTGTATTTTATCAGGAGTTCAACTTTTTGTTGTTCCGGATTTTCGCTAAAAATATTTTAAATTTTCTTTGACAGGATAAACCTATAAATTATGATATTTTTAATAAACATTTTTATTTCAAAATGTAGGGTTAAACAAAACTTTTAACCAAAGAAATAAGGTTTCATTGAAAACGAATCTAGTTTATAAATGAATGAAGCTCCTTTACAACAAATACCAATAAATTTATTTACCCAACATTATTTCATCCGCAATCAATCCGCAGTCAATAGTTTAAGGGATATTATAAATAAATACATATTTTCTTCCAAAAATGTTACCCCCCAAGGGTCCACCAATCGGTAAACCAAGTGTTTAGGCCGTTTTGGTTCAATTTTGGCACTTATTTTTACAAAGGATCAAAATTAGACATAGTGAAGATTAGCAAATGTTTTAAATTAATTATTTTAAACATTTTCTTTTCCACTCAATGTCAAATTTTGACCCAGACGAATATATCTGCAAAAAAAACTACCCTAAAAAAGAACATGTTTTGCTAGTTAATTTTTCAATTTTTTTATGATAAGATATTGAAAAGTATAAGAAAAGCAAACTTTAATCCGAAAATGAGTTTCGAAAAGTTTTGTTAAAAAGATTTTAAAAACGAACAAAACCCTTTTTCAACACTGCCCATAACTTCCTGTAGAACTAGTTCAGTTTAATATTTTGTTTAAGAGGATTAAAATCCCTGAGTAATATTATATCACTCAGGGATTTTCTTGCTTGAGGTTAGTGTCATAAAAAACTGAAATATTGAATGATGATACATTCAGAACGGTCCAAAATGTTAAAAAATCACAAACCAATATTGTAAAAATTACAGAAAAATAAAATTATTCTATAATGTTTATTACCTGTTTGTTATTCCAGCTGCCAAAACCAGTTTAACTGCTTGAACTCCAATTCTCCAGGCTAGTTCTAATATCATATTCCGCCCATTCGCTATATTTCTAATCTTTGTTCCTAACAATAAAATTGACTTTAAAATTTTTAGATACTCTATTTAATTTTTGTTGAAAGGCAAAAATTTTTTCTCAAGAAAATGTTTATAAGACTGTTAATTAATTGTGTGCATGTATACCTCTTTAAAAGGACTTGAAGTAACATTATTTTAAGTGTTACAAATCTGGTTCATAATCGTTCCCTTCAAAACTTTGTTTGAATGTTAAGAAAATATTACTAAAATTTGTCTACCACTTGATTACTTTGCAGCAGAGGTAATAATGGAAAAATTACAGAATTTATTTTTTTATAAAAAAACAATTCAAAAAAAAAATCTCACATATTGTTGAAGATTTAAATGGTACTGCTGTGAGTTGTGACCCATTTGAATTAAGAGAAACTTGAAATCATGGCTCGACAGTCCCTTTAAGTTTTACCAAATCCTACCTGGATGACTTAAAAGCAAAGTAACAGCATTAATGTTGCCTTTGACTAGCGCATGCTGAAGTACGTCTAGGCCGTCTTGATTAGTGACTTCTATGTCTCCCTAAACACAGCATAAAAAATGTTGGAATGTTCTAAAGTATCTGAATATTATTTCTTTGCAACCTGATTTTGTAGACCTAAATTTTTCACTTTTGAATTTAACAAGCTGCAGATATTGCCAAAATTTGATCAAAACAAAGGTTTAAACCATCAACATGCAAAGAATATAAAAGTTTGAGGCGAGTGAATTCCTTTTTACTATAACTAGGCTTTTAGTTTTAAATTGTGAACATGTTCTTTTTGTTTACATTTTAAAACAAAGAAGAAAAAAATTTTGCGGATTTTAAAAAAAATTCGCGGATTTTCAAGAATTTAAATTTTTTTACAAAATTAAAAACCTTTAAAACACATTTTTTTAAAATTTTATCATTCATAAAGCTTCCCTGTGGTCAGACAGACAAACACCCAGACAAGCCAAATTTATATATAGATGCACTTCTAGAACTTTAAAATTACAGGGTTACCCACAAAGGATGAGACTGTAAAGACGACACAGAACTCTAAAAATATTACGATTTGAAGTTTGATTTTTAGCTTCTGTATTCAATTCAGTATTGTGATGGTTTATGGAATGATTAAGCACAGATATAAACCAGTCTTGGCCAATAAGGAACCCTGAATGCAAGAAAATGGACTTAACAAATTCTGTTCAATCGTCTCTGAAGTCTCATCCTTTGTGGGTAAGGGTAACCCTGTAGTCTGTACCATTGCCACTTTTGCTGCTGATAATAAAAGTTGTAAACAATCGATACTTTCTGAGGAATCGCAACTGATAACTTGATGAAACGGCGTTTCTCCGTTCTTGTTCCTCAAATCTAACCTAAGATGAAAAGAAACTTTGTATTATTTTAACTAGCTGATAACCAGACATAATCAATTAAATCTTTTAGTTGTACTTTTTGACCGGCTAGTTTATAGGTAACATAGGTCATAAAAGAAGGGGATTCTTCATTTGGTGCATGCTTTAGCTATTTAAGAAGCGGGCTTCTACAAAAGATGAGACTGTAATGATGACTCTTACAATATGACGATTTCAAGGTTAACATAAGTCTTCTGTCTTGAATATTGCCTCTTAATGGCTTATTTAATGATTTGGCAAAGAAAGCCACAAGTTTATAGTAACAGGTAATCATGAATACAAAGAAACAGATAGTATAAATTCCGCACAGTTGTTTCTTAAGTCCTGTATTAGTAAACCTGAATATAAATGAACTGAAGTTTTCAGTAAAACAATACACGCAAATATATATGTATATACCAATATCAACGCTTTGGTTTATATCTCTAAACTCTACAGTATGCATATAAATACCTGATTTTCTTTTGGCTTAAAAGCTGTTGCAACACTTGAAGGTCTGTAAGCCTAGATGCCCAATGAACAGCTGTGTTCTTGTCGTTGTCTGATTTATTGATTTCAAGAGATCTAAAAAATATTATTAGACCTTATGTCTTATTAAATGATATATGATGGGGTTTAAAATGTTTATTGAAAACTTATTGCAGAATATATGGGAGCATTATTAAATTGTGGCGTTGATTGCTGTCGGGGAGCTGCTCAACTTCTGGTATAGATGAATCCTAAAACCCGGAGCTTCTCAGGTGCAGAACTGTTGAAGGATGCTGCTGTAGGGGAGCTGCTAGAAGCTGGTATAGATAGATCCTAGATCCCGGAGCTTCTCTGGTGCAGAACTGTTGAAGGCTGCTGATGTAGGGGAGCTGCTAGAAGCTCCTTAAAATAAAGTCCGGGAACTGGACAGCTGTTCAATGAAGCCTACAGATTTTAGAATATCAATGAAATCACTTTTTTGGTGGTACAGAGTTGGATTGGAACTCTAGAGCTGCTCAAGGGTTGGCTACAACTGCTGGTATCATCTTTTCAAGATTCCAAAGTAAAATTTAAAGTGTTGTTTTAACCTTGAGCATATAGGTAAAAAATGTGCATACAGTGCACACAACTATCTTTAGCCATCTTTTGAGATTTTTACAAAAAAGAAGTTTTAGTTTATGATTGATTCCAACCATGACTCAACATTTTTTAAAGCATACTTTGAACTCCCTTAAAATAAATAACGTGATAACCAGAAAACTGTAGTATAGGTTGACAACATTAAAATAATACTAAAGTGCATTTGATGTTGTTACAAAGCAAATAAATTAACTAGTTATTTGTAAAATGTTAAAGTGATATAGATCTGTTCACACTATAAAACTGCTGTGCCGGCCTCATGTTTATACATTGGAGTATTTAAAGTCATAAATTCAGTATAAAAGTCTTCTTCTTATTCCATTTTGCTAACGATTTTGGACCATAAAATGTTGGTTTGAAATATCAATAGTATCAGGTTTCAACGATATAGGTATTATAATATTTGAGTTTGTGGCAAGAACTCAGTTTACACAAAAGAGCTATTTTCCACCTAATTGCTTTATACTTGTACTGTTAATATAATCATCAATTTGTGATTGTAAACTCGTTCTGTACACAGATACATGTATTTTAGAAATAAACTTTATCTTATCTTATCTTATCTTATTTCAGCTGTACAGTGTACACCTTTACCTGTACTTGAGTAAAAATGAGATGGTTTTGTATTGTTTAGATTGTACAGCAGCCACTAATATTGTTCGACCATGGGAATCTGCAGAGTTTATATTTGATGCACCAATCACCTTGAAATGAAAAATATTTTTTTAATATATCTATGTAAGATCTCCACAGATCTAAATGTCGTCTTTGTTCAAGGTATCTCCAAACCAAACATGGAATGACAAGGTGGCTGAAACTCCCCGTGAGAGAAGACAGTCAGCTGATGTCAAAATGATTCTCATCACAACTCATGAACAATTCAACAGTGTTAATATAAGTTGTTTTACTCATATGTTCAAATATTTAACCTTTAATAGCTGCGTTTACTCTTAATAACCCGATGATTTGTAAATTTCATATCTTAAGCTTAAAGCTTTATCTGAGAATATAGCAGTTAAAGCCTAACAAACTTTTTTTCCTTTTTATGCAAAATAACTTGATATTTTACTTTTAGAACTAGAATGGGTTCATTATCTCATTCTGTTCTATAGAAGTGTTGCCCAGGTTGCGTTTAATCAAGGTTTATAAACCATCTGTATATTTATTCAAATGATGCTTCTCTTGGTTTATCTCCCAATCAAAGCCTTTGTTGCAAAAATAATTTATATATAGGGCTTCAGATATCACCCTGAGCTTTTATATATAGGGCTTCAGATTATTAGATATCACCCTGAGCTTTTATATTTAGGGCTTCAGATTATCAGATATCACCCTGAGCTTTTATATATAGGGCTTCAGATTATCAGATATCACCCTGATCTTTTATATATGGGGCTTCAGATTATAAGATATCACCCTGAGCTTTTATATATGGGGCTTCAGATTATTAGATATCACCCTGAGCTTTTAGATATAGGGCTTCAGATTATCAGATATCACCCTGAGCTTTTATATATAGGGCTTCAGATTATCAGATACCACCCTGAGCTTTTATATATAGGGCTTCAGATTATTAGATATCACCCTGAGCTTTTATATATAGGGCTTCAGATATCACCCTGAGCTAAATATCCTTGAGCTACTCCGACTTGATCCTACTTAGCAGGAAACCAATGCTTGGGGAGCACGTCTCCTACTCCATGTTCCTCCCGTAAGGATCAGTCTAAAGATATATATACCATGTGAACTTTTAGTGAAATGAACCTTTGAACCTGTGAACCTAAAATCTTAAACCTTAACAGTCCTTCATTAGTTATCCTAATGAAGAATTATGTTAGGATTAAACTGAACCTTGTTGCTGCTACCACACACTCTGGAGCACCTGTGTTCTGGTTGATGTGCTAGACGGATCTCACCTATAACTCCGTTAAGATCTACTCCTCCAGCTTGAGCATGAAGTACCGGTAGTGTTCTCCTTGGATCATATTCTTGATAACCTTCTTCAACCTCGCCCACTGGTGCAGTCATCTGTTATCAAAAAGGTGAATAACATGATGAAACCTCAAGTTATATGACAAACTTGTCCAAAATGTTAATCTTATTTAGTTTAAGTTTGTGTGGTCAATGAACTCCTTTAAGACCTCCACTTACCAGCAGACCTTGTATTGTACCTTATCCACCATCTGTATACTCCATAACCTCTAATGGACAGACTGATCCTAGGCTCAGCAATCAGATCAATGATAGGTACTAATTTGATTTATACGTGTCCCTGGGATCAATTTAAACAAGCTGTTACTTAAGCAAAGGATTTAAAGAAGCACCAAGTGAACCAATATTAAACCCTGCATTTTTAGTCTTGTCCCGGATGCTCCTACCTGACTGCAGAGCAGGAAATTCTACCCAAGATAAACTTGCAAAGCATTAGAGATCTTTCCTAATGCTTACGAATCCCCCGGCCAGTTCAACTTTGTAAGTTTTCATTTAATTATCAACGTAATCCTGGGCAACATCAAAAGGCTTATTTTATTATTGAAACATTTCTTATACAAAGATTTTAAGCTAGTAGGAACTGATCATTGTTTTCGTTTCAGTTCAGGAATAGAGCTGTATGAATACACCTTTCCTGAAATACTTGCTTGAAAAGACTGTTTTGTGCATTAAGGAGTGGTATTTTAAATGCTCATCCATTATACTTCATACTTCCTACCAGCTCCAACTAGTTAGGCCTAGAAGCACAATGAAAAAGGTGAAAATTCATAAGTAATGCTAACCTAAGCCACTTAAAACCCTTTAAGCGCTCTACCTAACCTCGCACATAAGCATACAAAAAAATTTTAAATTAAACATTTTTTTTGACCTATAACTTATGTTTGCAAATTTTGCACGGGGAAAGGTTGTAAGGTTGCAAATTGCAAGTGCAACACTTTAAAGTCAACACAGTCTTAAAATGTGATGCAACTTTTTATAGCATCTAGACCTTTGTTATCTGTTCTGTATATTAATTACTCTATTAAGGAATAACATTAGATATTGATTGCGTAATTAATCCTGTGAGAAAGTAAGGTCATTAAGAGAACGTCTTATTCCCAAATCCCACTGCCAGGAGAGACTGTATTGATTTAACCAAATTCAGTATAGACTGATTTGTAAAGGTAAGGAAACCATGATGTTTGGTTCAACTCCTGACTCTCAGTTAGGAGAAGGAACCTGTTCTACAACCAGCTGAAGTATATCCAAGGTCTGATTAGCTTCTGAGTTGAGAGAAGGTATACCTGTTCTATAACCAGCTGAAGTATATCCAAGGTCTGATTAGCTTCTGAGTTGAGAGAAGGTATACCTGTTCTATAACCAGCTGAAGTATATCCAAGGTCTGATTGGCTCCTGAGTTGAGAGAAGGTACCTGGTCTATAACCAGCTGAAGTATATCCAAGGTCTGATTGGCTCCTGAGTTAGGAGAAGGAACCTGTTCTACAACCAGCTGAAGTTAATCCAAGGTCTGATTAGCTCCTGAGTTGAGAGAAGGTATACCTGGTCTATAACCAGCTGAAGTATATCCAAGGTCTGATTGGCTCCTGAGTTGAGAGAAGGTACCTGGTCTATAACCAGCTGAAGTATATCCAAGGTCTGATTGGCTCCTGAGTTGAGAGAAGGTACCTGGTCTATAACCAGCTGAAGTATATCCAAGGTCTGATTAGCTCCTGAGTTGAGAGAAGGTATACCTGTTCTATAACCAGATGAAGTATATCCAAGGTCTGATTAGCTCCTGAGAAGAGAGAAGGTATACCTGTTCTATAACCAGATGAAGTATATCCAAGGTCTGATTAGCTTCTGAGAAGAGAGAAGGTATACCTGTTCTATAACCAGCTGAAGTATATCCAAGGTCTGATTAGCTCCTGAGAAGAGAGAAGGTACACCTGTTCTATAACCAGCTGAAGTATATCCAAGGTCTGTTTAGTTCCAGCTGCCATCATCAGTTGAAAACATTGTTTTTCAGAATATACCTAAACACATCATAGTTATCTATCCATGCTATCTAAATTATGGAATGCATTAACTTTTCAGACAGGACTAGCTTTGAATCTAAAGATTGTTAATCTAAAGATTAATTTTATCTTTATTCAATAACTTGCCTGTTTTCCCATATTATCTTGCCTATAAAGACCCTAAACAATTTGTGTCAGCACCCACAATGCGGAAAATGATGAAAATTTTCCTTGTAAAGCAGTTTATAAACTGAACACACAATTCATTGATCATTAATAAACTTCTTATATTTCTTTAGGGTATAATCTTTTGCGTTATGCAGCAGGATTTCTAAAAATTGAAATTTCAATGCCCTACATCTGTCATTTAAAAATTTTATAACTGCCGGAAGACTTAATTGTTGTGGCATGGAAGACCTTACGGTTGTGGCTCATGACTACTGGAAGACAAAAAAGATAATATGTGGCATGGAAGGGGAAAATGTTGTGGCTTATGGCTGCCTGCCTTCCCCTGCTCCTATAAAAGTATAAAGGTATGTATTTACATTTTGATTAATGTTGTATTGGAAATGTAAATATTTGAAAATATCATGTTAAATTATCATCATTATAAAAAATTGTTCACACAACTTAACACAATTTAAAGATCTATAATAGAGCTACTATATTCATGGGACAATTAGTTGCAGGGTTACCCACAAAGAATGAGACTGTAAAGAAGAACTGAAACTCTTTAAATATATCTATTACAAGGTTAAATTAAGCCTTTCATGCTGTATAGTACTGTCTTTTATCGGCTTATACAATGATTTTTCAAAGAAAGAAACAAGTTTACAATTGCAAGGAATCAGAAATATAAGCATAGAGAATAGAATATTATTAGAGGGGAATTTACTAGAAAAAAGTGTAAAACGGCCATTTTGTTGTACTGTTTCCATACTGCAGGTGTACTTCACATATTTATGCTATATAACCATTTGGGCCCTGGAATATCATTTTATTGAAAATCTAAAATTAATGTTAAAAGAAGACCAAATTATGAAATAGGCTGGTCTCATGATTGACCAATGATCATTTCACATAGACTCTATGCCTTTCACTTTACAAACGATGATTTTCCGTTATAACTATAAATCAAATGATGTTTTGTATTCCCCTAATTCATCATAAAGTTTATTTAACAGCTTTAAAAATTTCGAAATTGAAATGAATAGTCCAGGGAACATACTGTATTAATGTACTCTACTGCACATAATTTGTGAACATTTACATGATTTGTACGCTTTGAATTCCCTTTCAGGCTGAAAGGGACTGAAAAAATTCATACCGAGAGATTCTTTAAATTCCTCTCTAATATATATTCTATTATCTATGAATATAAGAAACGGGCAGTACGTAATTTCGTACAAATGTCTCTGAAGTCTCATCTTTTGTGGGAAACCCTGTACCTTTATTGGTGTGCAGAACATTTTCAGAAATATTTACAGATTTGTTTTTATGAATATCAAATAGAGGCATCACCATTCAATTCTTGTATAAAATTAAGATTATCTTTTCTCTCAAATCAAATCAATTCACGGATGAACCGATAATAATAGATATATTTTTGAATATAGAAACTTTAATAAAATATATACTTTTCTAATCTTGGCCCCACAGTTTTGGATCAATAACTTGACAACTTCCACACTTCCAGAATTCACCCCTAAAAAAACAAAAAGAAATTTCAGGAATGGTTCATGTTAATTTTCTAATTTTTTAAACATATTTTGAATAGGACATTTTGTGGACACATGGAATAGACATTTTGTGAATACATGGAATAGACATTTTGTGGATACATGGAATAGACATTTTGTGGACACATGGAATAGACATTTTGTGGATACATGGAATAGACATTTTGTGGATACATGGAATAGACATTTTGTGGACACATGGAATAGACATTTTGTTGATAAAGACATCTCATAGAAGATATTTCATAAAAATCATATATATATAGAGATAAAGCATTTTACACATATAGACGATAGACATGTTAAAATATAGATATATACATTCGATAAATAAGGCATTTCATTAACTTAAATATCTTGAATATCTTGCAAAAAATTGAACCAAACCTAAAAGTATTGGATCCACTTCTGAATCTAGAGTGACTGTTCCTCCACGACTTGTTAGAAAATATCTAAATTATGTAAAGAATAAATTTGGTAATAAATTACAATTTAGTATTATGATGATAATCACGTAAAAAGAATCTAAATTGAATAAAATTTAAACATGTAAAAAAGTTCATAAAGTTTTAATTAAGTTCATCTAATTAAAATGGTATTTTGAAGTAAGGATTTGGTAATTACATCTTAGCTAGTGTTTGATAATATAATAAGTTAAATAATTTAAGTCTCTTCCACAAAATTTGATTTTCTATTCTCTAAATCTTTGCAGCAAAGTGTGAAAAAATTCTGTTAGTTTAAATAATTTATCTTTAAAACATAATTTAATCACACCAAGGTTATAATGCATGGAAAGTTAACCCTATTCCTGCTGGGGGGGGGTCAATTTGACCCCCCCCCTGTAGTTTTTTTTTTACATAACTCAAAAAGTGTTGGTCTGAGGCTGTTGAAATTTTCTGACTTTTCTTACATACCCAAAGCCCTCCCTTTAGGCCTAAAACCGGGCTTTAATACTAACTGCCTGAGTCCTCAGGCACACTGCCTGAATGACTGCTTTTGCCTGTAACAAACTAAATCTTTGTTTTGACCCACTTTCCCTTGTCAGATTTTGATAAAATGTAGCTTTTTGGAAAGCCTATGACATAAGGAAACGGATTGCACAAGCTTTGCGAAAAAAAAATTGCAAATTTTTTGCAAACAACCTGTCAAAGGAAATTTGCACATTTTTGTTTTTCTTGATTAAAAATCAGGTTAATTAAAATTTTGCAAAATTTTTGCATATTTGAAATGGCATGGTCAAGGGCTTTTCAAAAATGTATAATTTGTCATTTTTTGTACAAATTTTTTTTTGCAAACATTTTTACTTTAAAACTGGATTTTGCGATAAAAAATTCAATTTTCGCAAATTTGCAAATTTTTTTGCAGATTCTAAAAGTAGAGCACAAGAGCTTTCTAATGATGTATCATTTGTCATATTTGGACATAAAACATGGGATTTAGAGGGGGGGGGGGTCAAATTGACCCTCCCCCCCAGCGTATCCTGGTTTTCAAGTACCCCAGCAGGGATAGGGTTAATTGCAGTTGACTATACTCTGCGTACATATTGAAATCAGTTCTCTCTGGGCGGAATTTGTAAACAAGAATAAATGCATTAGTGTTTGTTTAGTATCCGAGGAGGTTAAACATTGAATTTTGATAATTCACATAATAGTTTCCTATGACCAGAATATTTCATTGATTTTTTATGTGAAAGATGGATTCCATGTCAGGCTGTGACATCCGTCTTGTGTTTACATTACCGCCCAGAGACAGTACACTGCAGTACTAAAGATGCATACTCCTCTGAAATAACTTTCCTTGCATTATAACCTTGATTTACACCATGAATTTGCAAAAATATTGGGATTAGAAAGTATGAGTTTATGGCAAGAACTCAGTTCTTTAAAGTATTGATTAGAGGTAAATTTGTTTAACAGATTTTCTTTATTTTAGTTCAACTTTAGTTGCAAATGTGTGATTTCAAAATTTAGAATAGCTCCAAAACTGGTACAATAACGCGGCTTTGGAAAAAAATTCTCAACATTCAAACCAATAAATCATGATCATTGATCACCTGACGGCACCAGCATCACCCATCTCTATAGCAGCTATAAAGTTATCATCAGCCATTTTTTCTTTTCTTTCAAAGATTTGATTTTATTAAGTTCAAGAGCTAGTAACACATCTTAATTTTCATAATTTACACTCTTGGAAAACACTTTGAAATAATAAACCTCTTGTTACTAAGTCAAAGCCGCCATTTTGAAATTAGGCTAAGCTTTAAAGACTTTGATAAATCAATCAATAAAACTAAAGTTTCAGTCTAAAAATCTACAAAATTGAAATTACAACAATTTACAAATCAGTAATTTTTCATGGCTTATTTAATGATTTGGCAAGGAAAGAAATAAGTTTTCAGTTGCAGGGAATCAAAAATATAAGAAATGAGACAATAAAAATTCCGTATAATCTTCTCTGAAGATTGAAGTCTCATCCTTTGTGGGTAACTCGGGTAACCCGTATTATTTTATTGTAGATTTTTAAAAGCCATAATTTTCTTTTTGAATTATTTACTGCAAAGTAAAAAGAACCCCGAGCAAAATCATAGATAGAACTCTTCACACTATAGACAGAATGAGAATGTATTACTTGATTGAAGTTTTTTAAAAGCCCTAAACTTTCTTTTAGTAGTATTTATTTCTGTAGATTTTAAAAATCACTTGGTTCAACAGTTTTCAGATTTTAAAGTTTCTCGTGGTTAAGCTACGAATTAACAATTAAATACGATACATTTTTCGTTTATTCACATTGGATAAATATTAAAATGGAAACTTTTCTTGGTTAAAATTGTAAGGTTCGTTTAATTAAAATTAGAAATGTTGCTACAGTGAGAAACAGAAAACTATGGTACAGAAAGACAACGTTACAGTGTATTTTATTTTATTTAGTAACTTATTAAATCACAATTATTTAGTTAAATGGATCTGATTGAGTCTAAAATGTCGTCTTCCTATGCCACAGTTTTCTGGTTATCATGCTGCATATGAATATCATAAAATAAAACTTAAAAGATTAGGTTCAAATTAATTTTTTTAGAAATTAGAGTGAAATGTAATGAAGTTCAGCTTATTTTATGCCACTACCAGTACCAAAGTTTAAATTGAATTTTTTGTTGTTGAACGGAATGGCGCAAAAACTAATCGCATTTATTGCGTGCCATAAGGTTTAAATTGAATATTATCAAAAAACTGAAACACAAGCGCAAAAAAGTTTCGTATATGGCGCGCAAGGGCTCGCAATTGCTCTCAGGTATAAAATCCACTTGCGTTGGAAACCTTATCAGTAAATTGAATATAAAGTAATTTTTAAAAAGTTTAGTTTCCTGAATTGTCAAGAACACCATTATAAAAAATAGAAATTATAATTAAATCAAAAAGAGAGCTTTTACATCTAAACTTTTTCATTTCAGGTAAATTTTAGAAAACATGATAATTATTTTCTTTCATGAACATTAAACATAAAATAAGTATTGATCCTTATCCTCTGCGTATTAAAACTATACTGATACTGAATATTGAATAATGAAGAAATCTTAATCTTAATTCTCAGATACTTCAGATTATCATGCAAGCATGATTTTAAAGCTTGGAAATAGCCTCTGGACCTCAAGAAAGGGTTAAGCTTGATATGTCATGTTTGTTTTTGGCTTTTCTCTTTTAACAGCTGGTATTCAAGCTATTTTTCAATCAAAAAGGTGTCCCAACTCCTCTTAAGCACGAAAAAAATACGAGGTAGTTATTGAAAAGATTTTTTATAGATTTATGGGGGTAGGCGATTTTTGCAATATAATGAAGACGACTTTTATATTTAAGTTTTAATTGTTTACAAGCTTCTTTCGAAATACAACTTTACAATCAATGATCAGCCTTTTTAATTGGCGGCTTCTCTCTGTCTTCATGTTTTTAAGGAATCCATACTGTTTAAAAGCTTTATATAAATCAAAATTGAACGTCTTCTTCATAATATTGATATAAACGCCTACCACCGTAGCTTATTTCGTTATAAGGTATTAATATGCACATCAATACTTCTTCAATAGAAAAATTCATGATCCTTTGAACTGTTTAAGTGGAACAATCAGGGGCGGACATAAGAATTCTGTAGGGGGGGGGGGAATATTTTTAATTTGGCGCGCGAAGATCNTTTTACCCCCCCCTAGAAAAATATCATGATGTATATCAAATTATTGGTTTTAATTGGGTTTGATTTGCATTTTCCACTCATTTCTGGGATTTACAAACTCAATCTAATAAAGGCTTTCAGCTTTTACCTTGTTTTATATCCTTCATTATAGTCATTCATTTTATATTAACTACAAAGATCTGTAAAAAAAACTGAATTTATTTAATTTAATTAAACTTTTTTGCAAAAATTGACAAAAAAAGGCAGTAATATAAAAAATAATAGTTTTACTTCAAGAGGAAAAAGATGTTACTTTTTTAAATCTTTAGAAAAGCTACTCTGCAAAACTTTGAAAAAATATGGTCATTACTCATTGTTAAATTTTCTTGTCGTCAATGTAGTATTCTAATATATGAAAGAAAAATTCAATTCAACAACTCATTTTATCAAATGTTCAGCGAGTCGGTTTTACAATTTATTATTGTTAATATACAAACACAAAATGTAATAAGAAAATACTATAAGAATCAAAGTGCATGAATAAAGATAATCCAGAGTGAGGGGGGATCTCCAGGGGAACCTAATAACTAGGGAGCTGGTCTTCAACTGCCTGTATACTTTGAATTTAACTCCACCCTAGCCTAGAGCTTAACCCTAGTTCCCCGGGAGCTGGCCGGCCAACCCACCAGTACCCGGGCCTCTGGAATAACGGAATATCTGGCGTGGCTTGGGTTTTCGGCGTGGCAATTGGGTTATTTATAGAATTCACACACAAACTCAAAATAAATCCGTTAGGTCTGTACAAGAGATTGAAGGAACAGGGGGTGGGGGGGGCAAAACCCCTTTTTTATCGCAGGAAAGATCAACCCATCAATTTCCTGCTACAGTATGTTAAGATCTTAACGAAATCTAATGTGGAAATGACATTATTTATAAGTAAAAAAGTTTTTTTATTGTCCATACCATAACCCCAATAACCCCCCTTATGGCCGCCACTGGGAACAATAGAAGCAAATTGCTGTGCTATACAATACACAACACCTTATGAAAAAATCTTGTGTTGGTAAACATTACCCTACATACATGCTTTTTTGGGATTATATTTTTATGTACAGAATATTTTTGCCAAGACGTTTTGCCCTTGTTTTTGGTTAAACATTATTTGTTGAGCAATAGATACAGGGTTACCTGCAAAAAGGATGAGACTGTAAATACGACCGGAACCTTTTAAATTATGATGACTGATGAGCCCAAGGTTAAAATATTTTTGCGCAATATGAACAAAAAAATGTTGGAATATGTTCATTTGCACTAATAATTACAGAAAAAAAATTAGTTCGTTTGAACAAATATTTTAATACAAACCTGTTTCTGATCATTTGACTTTAGAAATGTATAAGTATAAGTTCGATCTGACTCATCTGACATGGTAATTGGTAATGTCACATCGTCATATACGCAACATCCCCCCTACTGAACTTCTAATTCCTACTAACTTTCCGACCTACTGCAATATCGGACCTACGCCAGCTGTTTATTTTTGTATTATGGGTTAGGCGCGCGGCTAGGACCAGGCTAGGGGGTCGAGCGACGGCTAGGATTGGCTAGGGGGCCGAGCGCTGCGGCCACATGTCCATGGCAGCAGTAAAACCACGTGCTAGTAGGTCGAATGTGTAATAGCGGGTTTATTCGTAGGTGGATTCTCATTTGAACTACTGCCGTTTGAACTATGGTACTAACTACTCACGTGGTCCCACGTGCAGTAGTTGAAATGAACAATAGTTCAAATGAACAATATAGTTCAAACGGCAGTAGTCCAAATGAGATAGCATCTTATTCGTTTAAGGTCAGAAGAGCAGTATAGCGGATTTGCGTAGGTCGGAACTATTGTTGGATAAATGCTCATGAAGACTACTTTTAAAAAAAAATATTGAAAATTTCCTCCTTTCGATTCGTGAGGTTTTATCACAAAAATGTATTATTATTTTTCAAAATTCTTAAAATGAAAAGGGAAAACATTTTTGAATGTCGTCTTTTTCGTGACTACCACGTCATTCCAATAACTTTAAAAACTAGAACGATTCGCGGCATTTGCTCACATTCTGCTGCATTACAAAGTTTTCCGACGCGCCGGAATTACACGCGTTTTTCAGATTTTTTTGTAATTTTATTCTAAATATTATAGTTTAAAACCTTAATTTCAGATGAGTAAAATGACGTAGTGTTAGGAAAAACAAAATAAATTTATTTAACAGACTTTTCCCATTCGTAACAATGAGTGTAGTTTCAAATTATCCGAAATCCTTCTCAACCTTTGAAATTCTTCGGAATGGAATGTGGGCATTCACCAAGGGGTTTGCAGATAGTTTGAGGGGAGCTGTAGACTTATTCCTGTTGGACTACAGGTACTTTCATTTACTCTAAGCAAAATTTCTTTGTTACCATGATAACTGAATATACAGTATTCCGGCAATTCTATTCACAAAATTGTGTCACCTGAACAATCTTTAGCTGATTTCCTTGAGAACGAGTTTTGGACCCTCCTATCAATTTTGTACAATTGTTTAATCAACCATATGGCCGCAGCGCCCGGCCACCTAGTCTGTTCAACCCTCAATAACACAAAGTTAATGTATAAATTGATAGTAGGGGGGGGGGGGTCCAAAAATCGTTCTTCAGGACGGACCCAACCTAAAGGTCTAGGATGTTTGTGATATATGGGACTTCAACATTTTCCCTCTGCTTAATAAATTTTACGAACATTTTTACCAATCCGAGTTAACAGAGTCGCTCAGTTCTGATCCAGACTGTTATAAAAAGTTGTATCAATTTTTAAGACCGGGCCGACTTAAAAGTGACTTAATAAACTGGACTTTGGTTTCCCCTCACTACTACATTATTTTTGTAGTTCTAGACAAGCACATTCTAGTAATAAAGTTAAGAAAAAGTAGACGGCAAAATTCTCATCGATTTTTGCGTTGGAGCTTGTCAACATTAGGATCTTTTTAAATTGTCTCAAACCAGAAACTCTTCAACAGGATTTTCTACATATTTAAGAATACTGAGAAGTATAACTAGGTAGAATTAGTTCAACTACGTCTAAAGTGCCTTATCGGCCATAATACGGGAAGCTTCTTAAACTTTTTCCTTTTAAAGAAGAACCAGACCTGTAAAATGTGATGAATTCCGACTTTGTGAAGGAGTGAGGTTCCATGTCTTTCTAAGCCTGTATCCGTTATACACTTTTTTGTTGTTGCTTATTTCTGGATCTGCAAGTTTTAGCGATCAATGTAGCGGAAGTTTTACTGATCTTAACCTTGGCACTGGATTCTAGACAATTTTTTTCTGACAACTTTTATAATATGCAATAATTTATTAATATTCTGGTTGATGCAACGAAATTAAAAAAAAGATTAATAAATAATGTAATTTTTTTTCTTATAAACGATTGATTTCCGTTTTGAAATCGAAGATAGGCGCGAAGCACTCTAAACGCCTAGTTTTAAATATTGAATCATCAGACATACAGAATAAAAACATCATTTTCTAGACGTGTGCAGGAGAAAGAACAAAAATTACAACAAAGAGAGATTGATAGAGAACTTTTACTAAACAGGCAAGTTTCTGCATAGTTCAGGCTTTTTCCCTTCAACTTAGTGAAATTAGATAAATCCTTTTTTTTATAAAATTGAGTATTTCCTCCAATATTTTTATGAAGCATCGAAAGATCGAGTTTTGATTTCCGCCATTCTTGAAAAAAAAAATTTTTATTTGCGTGTTAAATTTTTATTTTTGACAAAAAATCGAGTTTTTTTATTGGTAATGGGGGTCAACATTTTCAAACTCCAATTACAGTTTTGTTAACAATTTTTTCTTATAGAGTTAACCTTCTGACTTCTCATACAATTTTCACCAAATTCAGTTAATATTACCTCAAGTGTGTGTGGGGGGGGAGGGTAATATTAAATAAAAAATAAAGAATATTATTTCTGAATTATTAAAATAACATGTTTTATTTCTAGGGACAGTCCTGCACGGGATATTGTAAATATTGCGAAGAAACGCGCTATGGAGCGCAGAGAGAGAGACAAACAAAGAGAATTGATAAAACCCAAGTAAGTCTAATGTTCATCAAAATGGTATGATCCCATTTTTGTTTATCAAAATTTAAAGAAAATGACTTTAAAACTGTATTTATTGTTAAACCGATTTTTCCCCCCGTGATTATATAAGATCAGAGTTATCAATTGCATGAAAGGTGCGGGTGAGGTTTGGCTCAATGAGTGCCTACGCAGAGGCACTCGTTATTTAGGGTCAATATTGTGTGTAACCTTTTTGGATAAAATTTAAATTAATGTTCAATTCCAAGATTTTTTCATTTTTCTTTGACGTATGATTCATATGAAATTTTCTTGGTTTCCGACTAATGATAAAAAAAATTAAGAGTTATGTTCACATATTACAAATAATAAATTAGAAACAAAGAAAACGAAGATATGAGGAGAGATAACCAATTATTACTTAGTATTTCAATTTTTTCTCTAGTGTTTTATTTCTAACTTGGAAAGAATGTCACGCTTGTTAGATTCTAAATTACGAAATTACAAGAAATTGAGTTCTTGAATTACCAAGAATTTGCATATACACTTAACTCTCATACAAGATTTATTTATCAGGCAAACAATTTAATCAACATTTAATTTGTTTTTATTCTTCAGAAAGAAGGAGCCGAAGATACTGGAGCGGACTGTTAAATGTTGTCTTCTAAATGGAGCTGTGTTTTGGAGCAGTATTCTTATATTTGAGAATATCATCTTACCAGCCGTAGAGATGCTAGTTTATGTTTTAACAGCAGGTGATTCAGCGAACTAAATTAAAAAAGAATTTTTCAAGAAAATATACAGGATACACCTTCAAGATTTTATATTAACTTTTTAACGATGGAAAAAAATCTTTTTTTGAGCCTTGTCCCTTTCTTCTTTGATAGTGGCTAAATAGGTATTAATGTCAATTCTCATTTTCAATCCCTTTAATGAGTCATGTTTTCTCATGGATTATTTTCTGGAAGGTTCTGGGGATTCTCTGTGGCTGTATACCCAACCTATTCTATCTCTTCTCTTCTCTACACTCTGGGTTCTTCCATTCTTCCTTCTCTCAAAGATTGTCAACGCAATCTGGTTCCAGGCAAGGAGAAAAATATAACCGAGAAAAAGGGAAAGGGGGTGGTGTTTAATCCGAAGTATTAGTAAATGTCTTGTACTTGTTTTATTGTAGACAAGCTTCATTTAGAAAGCAATGTTTTCTGGTTTTTTTATCTTAGTATATGTTAACAATAAAGACTAGTTTCGAAGCTTTAAAATAGAAGTAAAATTAGTTTAGTAGCGATAGAATTTGAATTTGATTAAGATTCAGACTAACGGGGGGGGGTTTCATTTTTCGCGAGCACTCTTTAAAATAAATCTTCCATTTAAAAAAAAATGTTTTTCTTGAATTGTGAATTTTACTGGTTGATGAATTACAAAGAATATATTTCTTTTAAATTTCAATCATAGCGTTTGATAAAAAGACTTGTTTCCATAGTGATTATTAACATTCACAACTTACAATTCAAGATTGAGTATTTTTCATTATTAACATACATCACACCAGCGAAATAGGCGGGGGTAGTTAAAAAAAATGTAAATGTCCGGCAGATCCGGATCCAGGGAGTTGGATAATTGAAAATTAGTCGGACTTATTTCCGGACTCCGGGAATTGAAAATTTTAGATTCGGTAGACCCGAGTCCGGATACAGGGAGTTAAACAAGTGTAGATTTGGTAGACCTGGGTCCGGATCCAGGGAGCTAAACTAGTCTAGATTCGGTAGACCCGGATCCAGGATCCAGGAAGCTTAACAAGCGAAGATTTGGTGGATCCGGGTCCGGATCCAGGGAGCTAAACAAGCGTAGATTTGGTGGATCCGGATCCAAGATTCAGGAAGCTAAACAAGCGTAGATTTGGTGGACCCGGGTCCGGATCCAGGAAGTTAAGAGTAGATTCGGTGGACCCGGGTCCGGATACAGGGAGCCCAACTATTATCATAATCTAAATGTTTTTCAGGATATTGCGGATTTAGCTTTCCGTTCCACACAAGGTCGACCTTTAGGTGAAATATTCTTTATTATTTTATTTTATTATATTATTATCTAACCCCAAGGTGTATTTTTTCTCTTAAATCATTTTACTTCCCCCTCCCTTTTAAAAATTTTTTTTTTCAGCAATTGCAAATGCTACTGATTTTTTATGGTTTACTTGCTGAATTGGGAAAAATCGAAAATAAATAAATTCTTTGCTTAAAAGGATCAAAAAGAAAGAAAAAAGTTGTTTATTGATATAAAAAATTTTAATATCCCCCCCCCCCACATTAGGTTCAAAAAAGAATGAAAAAACTTGCCTTTTTATGTCAAATTTTTATTATTTAAAAATCATTTGATGATTTGAGTTATTCTGAAGAATATACACCCCTGTCACCCCATCGAAAAAAACTTTCCCTTACCTACTAAATTAACATTTGAAGTTTTTCATCTAGAAAACATTAAAAATATATGTGGATTAAATATAAAAATTTTAATTTTTAATTTTCAGTAAACCTCTCCATATCAGTGATGATAGCAGATACAGTTATATCTATAGTAGTGGAATCTTTATTCCTTATTCAGGTTAGAATTAGTTTTATTCGAGGGGGGAGGGCGGGTGTGGAGTGGGTTACTTTAAAACTTAATGCCCTCAATTTTAAAAGTGGCATGTTCACTAAATACAACGTTACCCATTAAACCCTCGTATAAGAATAAATGTTCAAGAAATTCTTGATAATTTCCAGTAGTTGGTTTTCTAAAAAAAAAAAAAGTGAGTTACGGGGCTATTACAGTTGAGACAAAGAATAAATTGTCAGAATGGAACACTTTAATGTTCCAAAAATTCCAATTCTTATTTTATTAGTTTAAAATAGGAGGAAGGGAGGGATGTTGTAGAAATAATTTACTGTCAATGATGAAATTATCTAGGGTAAAGTGATATCTATGTTACCAATAGAAATCCTTGGTTCTGCTTTTAACCTTCTTCATCTGTGCCTTCTACATTCTCTCTACAGCTTTGAATACAAGTGGTTCTCCCAGGTACACTAGTTTATGGGTTACGAGGGCCGGGGGCTTGGGATTATCCAGCAGTTTTTAGACGTAATTTAAAGGGTGTTGAGTACTTTTCCAAATGCATTTTCCCAAGGGCAACTTCCCAAATGTGCAATACCCTAAGCAGAAACTTCCCCCAACGGTTAGGCTAAGCTCTCTGAGGCGCCGCAGGCTGCAATGGGGGCGGGGCCGAGCGCTGCGGTTTGGATGGGTTTCGGGGCCGAGCGCCGCGACTAGAACATGCTGGGAGGGGCCGAGCGCTGCGGCTAGAACAGACTTGAGAAGTTGCCGCTTTGGAAATTGCACATTTGGGAAGTTGCAACTTGGAAAAGTACCCTTGGGAAGTTGCCACTTTGGAAAGATCCTTTTGGAAAGTACCTTACATAATTTTAAGTAAACCTTTCAGGAATATCACGAAAGAGATCTGACAGCCCCCCCCCCCCTCTAGTGTGGTATGTCCCATTCACTACGGTAACCTTTTTGTCGAGCTAAACACGGGTTTCTTTCTTAAAGTTAATTATTCTTTATTGCGTTTTCTCCATTAATTGACTTGAAGATTTCTAAAGTAGGATAGAAACATTCTGTCAGAATTCACCACTTTTCCAAAAAGAAAAACGATGATATCTTCCTCAATTTTGCTTAGATAACAATGTATAGGGTACCGTTGTGAATGGACTAACAAATCTATAAATTGAGGGTAACTTGAAAGGCTTCTACAGTGCCTTTAAAGGGAGTGACCGGCAATGTATGGTAGTTGAACTGAGAATGTAATAATGTGGAGACATTTTTTAGGATTCATTTGAGACATATAAAACGTTATAATGAAGATTTCTAGGAATTCTTAAAATGTCGTCTTTCAAAAAAATTCCAGAAATCTACAGAAAATGTTTGAACAATGCGAGATTACTGAAACTAATAACAGAATAAGATGAATTATTTTTAATTTTTATTTTCTCAACCTGTTTCTAAACAATTAATTAGTTTACTGTAGAATTTCTGTTACATTTTTGTCGTAGTTATTTAATAATTTTTAAAAAATCTATTTTTAAAACGCTCAAACTTGGTAATTACATTTATTAAATATATATCATTAAACCGTTTTATATGACTCAAATGAATCCTAAAAAAGTTCTCCACAATACTACATTTTCAGTTCAACTACCACACATTGCCGGTCACTCTCTTTAAGGTGTTCTGTTCAAGGCTTTGTCAAGACCGTGTTAAGTTCACCCTCTCCCATACTCGTCGAATTTGACCAATGAACTGCCAATTTTAATATTTTGGAAAACATCTGCCAGTTTCTTGTGTTTTTAAGAAAGTGTCGTGGGGGGGGGGGTCGAAAGATGTGGCAACTTAAAATTTTTAATTAGTATGTATATTGTCAGGGTCTTGAACTACACAAAAGATTAGATTTTGTTGAGACAAACTGGCCTTACTTCCTTGGGTTCGGTTTACCCCTTGCTGTTATCACTAGTCTACCCACCAGTCAGGTATGTGTAGTGTGTACAACCCTATTATTACAGGTTTCAAACACTGATCAAAAACCGGATCCGGATCCAGGTCATGATCCATCCAAGATTTTTATATGTTTAATTTGACCCCGAGAAGTAAAACGTATTCCTTGACCTTTTTGTATGAAGAGTTCATAATGTACAAGGGGTTGTACAATTTTCAGCTGTTTAGTCTGCATAAACAATATACTCTAATGTATCTAGGGTTGCATCCCTTATCATACAGTTTATAAACTCGAAACAAACTCGTAAACTTCAGCTGTAATCTGTAATACTATATTTGACACCAATACATGAATTGTAATCAAAACCAATGATTTTAGGTTGCTGCTGGTTGCGTTTTCTCAATTATATTTCCTCTATTCATAGTAGCTGGTGAGTATTAAGTTTTAAGTTCTAATGTAGAAGGGGAGGAGGGGTGATGCTTTGGGGAAAAATAAAAACTGGACATTAAAAGGCAAGTTTTTTCATCTATTGCATGATTTTTTACCCTAAAATTCTATTATTATCAATACTACAAACTATGTTTATGAAACAGATATCATATTTTACGATGGTTAATTCTTTTTATTCTACAATTCAAAATGGGACTCTTTAAAATCTTCTACTTATCCAAAAATAATAGTTTTACTAAATTTTTCAGTTCTCATCGATTTTACTTTTTTAAAGGTAACCAGGCTAGTATTGTGCCTAGTCCTGGGGTTCCAAGGCTTAATATCTTTGCTCCAACTATACTACTCAGCAATTCAGTCTTTGCTCATACACTCTACAGGTAGTTGAGTTAACCAGTTTTTATGTCTTTACTCTAAAATATTCATCAATTCAGTCTTTGCTTGACCTTTACTGAACAATAGCAACGATGTTACTCTGTGATTAAGTTTTTGCCCCGACTGTTCTATTCACCAACTCATTCTTTACTCTAACTATACACCTTAAAAATTCATTCTTTCCACCCACTTTATAATTCAGAAATTCAGTTTTTTCTCCAACTAGTATACTCAACAATTCATTCTTTACTCCAACTATACAACTAAGAAATTCATTCTTCCCACCCACTATTAACTCAGTAATTTTCTCAGTAAATCATTCTTTGATCCAACTATACTACTCGGTAAATCATTCTTTGCTCCAAATATACTACTCAGTCTTTGCTCCAACTATACTACTCAGTAACTTATTCTTTGCTCCAACTATACTACTCAGGAACTTATTCATTGCTCCAACTAAACTACTCAGTAACTCATTCTTTGCTCCAACTATACTATCAGTAACTCATTCTTTGCTCCAATTATACTAATCAGTAACTCATTCTTTGCTCCAACTATACGGTACCAGTACAAACATCGGACGCACAAACGTCGGACGCGACAAACGTCGGACAGTACAAACGTCGGACGCACAAACGTCGGACGCAAAAACGTCGGACCAGTACAAACGTCGGACGGGTACATTTATAAGAAAAAACGTCGGACTTGGTAGATTTTGAATGGACCATTGTTTAAAAAAATTTCAAACTACGAATTCTTCAAGATCATACAATTTAATCCCTATATCTTTGCAACCCGATGCTGTAGATGTTTCCAAGAACAGTTAGTGGACTTATTGCTATATTTCCAGAGCTTTCTTTAACTACTTGTTTTTCTATTTCACGTACTCTTTTCTTCAAAAGATCACTGTCATGTGTATGCTCTCCCAGGGAACTGATAATCTTGTCATTCTCATTGTTTACAACTTTGAATGCATTGGTTATAGGTTTTGTTGGGTTTCTTCTTTGTAACCCTATATTCAAACTGATTTGAATCAAGTAGGTGCTGTCCCCCCTGCTTGACCTCAATATATAGTTAGTCTCCTCGTCCATGTATCCAGACTTTGTGAGATTATGAAATTTTAACAAAAAATAATTGGGAATTTTGTTGAGAGAAAATTGCGAATTTACAAGAATTTTAATCTGAAAATTCAAATATATTTTTTCCTCCTTGGTCCGACGTTTTTCCTTATAAATGTACCCGTCCGACGTTTGTACTGGTCCGACGTTTGTACCAGTCTGACGTTTGTACTGGTCCGATGTTTGTACTGGTCCGACGTTTGTACTGGTCCGACGTTTGTACTGTCCGACGTTAGTAAGTCTTATGTTTGTACCATCCGACGTTTGTGGGTCCGACGTTTGTACTGGTACCAACTATACTACACAGTAACTCATTCTTTGCTACAACTATACTACTCAGTAACTCATTCTTTGCTCCAGCTATACTACTTATTAACTTATTCTTTGCTCCAGCTATACTACTTAGTAACTCATTCTTTGCTTCAATTATAATACTCAGTAACTCATTCTTTAATCCAACTTTACTACTTAGTAACTCATTCTTTAATCTCACTATACTACTCAGTAACTCATTCTTTGCTCCAGCTATACAACTTAGTAACTCACTCTTTGCTCCAACTATACTACTTAGTAACTCATTCTTTGATCCAACTATACTACTCAGTAACTCATTCTTTGCTCCAGCTATACTACTTAGTAACTCATTCTTTGATCCAACTATACCACTCATTAAATCATACTTTGCTCCAACTTTACTACTCAGTAACTCAGTCTTTGCTCCAACTATACTACTCAGTAACTCATTCTTTGCTCCAACTTTACTACTCAGTAACTCATTCTTTGCTCCAAATATATTACTCAGTAACTCATTTGCTCCAACTATATTACTCGGTAATTCATTTGCTCCAACTGTATTACTCGGTAATTCAGCCTTTGCTCATCACTTTGATAGCTCTTAGTTTTAATTTGTGTCACTGTATGTGTATCCTGGTTTATGTTGTTAGAAAGTTTCTTATGATTTCTAAATCTTCATTTTGTTTGTTAAGGTCGTCTAAAGCAGAGAAGAGGCCTACACCACAACGATAGACTGATCTATTGGAATATTACCGTATACTCCAGAAGTACAATTAGGATTTGAATTTGTATACGGACATCACTTTTGAAGGGAGAATAAAATTACACTAGAATATTGTATACTGTACAGTGTACAGGGTGCTAAAAATTTATAAAATAATACCAACAACTTGCTTCATTTAATTTAGGAGTACAGTAAATTGACTTTCTAAGTTTGTATGGTATATTTAATGTAAATAACTCTAAATTTTTATCTGAAACCCATCCATCCCATTAAAGTAATTATGTATTTTTTTAGTATTGTAATTACTAATTATGTTATTTAGTTTTTATGCTTAATACTTATTCATTCATAATTTACATTGGAGAGTTGTATGCTTCCATTCTATTTGTATTTAATGTATTACATGCCTATTATTAATCTTGCTTGCCAGTACATAAAACAACAAAAGAACTGAAAATCTTTTTATTTATACTAGTTCCATTTGATTTGAAGATTCATTACTTGTTATTACTAAATCGTGCACATCACAATTAAGATATTTAAATTTGGCATTTATAATTAATAATATATGAAGATTCACTCTTATCAAGTTCAAATCAGAAAATTAGCTTTGTCCTGCTTAAATAATTCTATTTACAAATGGATTTTGATGTTTTGCTCCAATTTGTAGATTTTGCCATTTGGTTAAAGTTATTTATTATATTAAATCAAATTATTTAGATATCTTAGAATTAGTTCAAATTAATGTAAAATCATTATTTCTTAAAATACTCTATTTTGCTTATTGCTTGGTTGTTTGTAACAGTGTGAGGAATAATATTTAGAGTTGGCGTGTAAATTTAGAGGGTATATTGCCCCCCCCATTCACCCCCCCCCCCCTCTTCTAAATATTCAAATAATTGTAGAAACCATTTTGTTTCAACAATAAAAATCTAAACTGGGAAAAAAACTATTTTAAAGGTTTCTCTGTACTAAAACTTCTTTCTTTCCTGATATTTAATTGTACTGTATGATTGTTGGGATTTCGCTATGCAAAAATTTACTCCAGACTTGCTCAAAACATTTTCATATTTACAGAATCATAAAAGATTGAAAATCAAATAAAATGGGAAGACAAAAAAGAAGCCAGAAGTTTTCTTCCAGGAAGAAGGTTATGAGCTCTTCAGATCCAAGATTAAAGGTAGAGGAAACAGTTTTTTTTTTCAGTGTGTTTCAGTTTAACCTCAAAGGATATGGAAGTGAAATTTTTATTAGATCGACAAAATCAAAGACGTAGTCCTAAGAATTCACGTAATGACTACAATTACCTTATTTTAAATCTGTTTTAGGAAAAGGACAGAATACCCTCCAAGAAGGAATTAAGAAAGCGGAAGGAGAAAGAGGAAAAAGAAGGGAAAACTACAGAACATGCTCAGGAAAGATCAATGTCAATATCATACAAATTCACTTTATTTTGGATTTTTTCTACGGCTGCCGCTTGGATCATCTACAAAAGGATTGTGTGTTGCCGCGGATCGGATTACCTGATTATGTAGCCTGGTCGTCCGCTCATGTAGCACATTCTTCCCGCTCTTGTTGCCCGGACTGAATTTACTGGAGCTGTGTGTATATTGCTGTTTATTTTCTGCAGATAATTGTCTCTAACTAATCTGTGGTACCAGTGTGGGAGCGTGGCCGAACTAAGTCTAAGTAATGCAAATATGTTCTTATGTGTTACAAACGTTTCGGGTTCTTCAAACCTACATGAAAGTCGTTCGGCACCCGTTATCCTCTGTAGGTTATCCATGGTCGTCAGTCAAAAAGGATGTGAAGATTATTAAATAATAATTTTATATGTATGTTGAAAAGCGTGTGAATTTATAATTGATCTTCTCTACTAGGCTAGCAGTGCACTATTCTTCCAATATAATACTCAACTGGGACCTCCTTTTCATATTCTAGGTATGTATTTATTCAAACTAAACTTTTCCCTCTTTTATTTGATTTATTTGAAGTTGTGCTTAAGGCCAGGTAAGTTTGCTACAAACAAGAGTGGGCATAAACTCTTTCTCGTCGGCTCACCTCAATTTGCACTGATTGATATCTTATTTATATTTCTGACAGGCAGTTCATACAGGGGTCAACCGTGAACTGAAAACACATTAAATCAGTCCATGGTTATGTTATTTGTATACAGCAATAAAATTGCCAGCCTTAATAATAACTTTTCTTCGGGTTAAAAACATTTAAATTTATACAAAATAAAAGTTCACCTACAATGTTGATATGTTTGGAGGTTTGTAGCCTATAGTCCGTTTACAATGCACCGCACTCGGGTATGAGAACCAAAAATGTGCTTTTTAAAGTTGAGTTGAGATTTTCATATGTCTTTTCAAATATTCTTTTTCAATCGTAATTTAGATTAGTTCCTGTATTTGATCTAGAGGAGCAGCGTTAGATCAGGGATACAGTATCAGTATCTAGCAAATCCTGTACAGGGTCATTCCGTCGGAGGTATCGGAGGGGAGCAGGACAACCAAGTCAAGGTCGTCGGAGATCTGGTATACATAGAGATGGAGGCGCCACTAGGAAACTTTCAGAGGTAGCATGGAACTCAAACCAAGCGTCCAGAGATACAGGAACACTCAGACTCCGTTGAGATCGGAGTCTTGTATATGTAGAGAACTGAAACCAAGCATCCAGAGACAAAGGAACACTCGAACTCCGTTAACATCGGGGAGTCTTGTATATGTAGAGAACCAAAACCAAGCGTCCAGAGATGCAGGAACACTCAGACTCTGTTGAGATTGGGAGTCTTGTATATGTAGGTTTTTATCATGACCTACCCAAGGCTCAGGGTGTCAAGATTAGTAGGTGAGAGGAGGGGAGAGCATATTCATCCTGGAGACCAAGGATGCAGATAAGATTAGCTCCGTGGGGCAGCGGAGAGGTTCAAGCTCTAGAGATCAAAAGAAACTCAGAGCCAGCTTTCCATAAGAGTTGATGAAGTTGTTGTGAGAATTTTGGATATTTTTCAAGCTTCGAATGTTCATAATTAATAATCTGGTTCAGTGCGTGGAGACTGAGGAATTACAATTATCACACCAAATCTATACATATTATATCAACCATCCGTTAGAAGAGAATCAAGCAACATGGTGTTAAAGTTTCCATGTGAATATTTATATCACGGATGATTTATAAACCTGGAGAAAGAGAAACACGAGCAGGCTAGAAGGACGCAACTAACCCATCGTGGTCTGAAAGACAAGACCAAATATTTAAAAGGGAGTGGCTAGACTTTTTAGCATCTGAACATAGTATCGGATAGACCCATTTATAAAACTTATTTACAGTCTTTAAAATGATTTTCCATCATTCTTTCAATCTAAAATTATACTCTAATTCAAGGTGTAAAACAGGCCTTGAAAATGTTTATACATTAAATTCTCAGATTATATAAAACATTTTGGACATTAAGATTAATGGTAAATTCGATGTATTTGTAGGATTAGTAGATTGAAGATAGAATTATTCTGTAGAACTTGAACACATAATAAATATATAGATCCACAGATCTTACAGAAGTATCCTAAAACTGTTCTTAATCTTATTTTTATTTAGATTTGCAATTTAAATATTTGTAAGATATAAAAATTAATTTTATAAAGACTAGATTATTATCAGACTATTTTAAACATTAAATAGGAGGAGTGGTTCTTGGCCTCTGACTTCTATATAAAATGTATACGTTGGTTTTGTTTTTAGTTGACACAAATTTTATCAACTTCTCGATCAAGAACAAGATGGACATCATCCAGAGCATGATGGACTGTTTGTACGCCAAGTGTATTCCCTATGTAACAGACTGCGTGATGGCAGAGTTGGAGAAATTAGGAGCTAAATACAGGTAATTATGATTAGTTTAGTACAGTGGTCAGCATATATATGAACAGGGGTGTATATTTTCTTTACTGATCAATCCCCCACGCTTTGAAAATAATTTTTTTCCCCAGAGGTTATCTATATGATTTGTTACGGTGTTTTCGCTGAATTAGGAAAAGGGATTTTTAAAGTGTAAATAGATAAATTTTTAGGTACACGGTATCCAAAAGGGATGTAAAAACTGGTCTTGATTTCCCATTTTTATTTTTTTAATTGTGAAGGAAGCAGTGCTTCAATACTTAGGATAGTGCTTCGTATATATTTCAAAGGTTAGGAACCTGCTCAGTCCCCCCCCTGGACCAGTAAGCCCCCCCCCCTTGTAAATAAAAAAGTTTAAGCCCCCAATGGACTGGTTCCTGAATACGCCTCTGGCTGCAGGTAGTGATGGGAGCAGTTCCTTAATATTTCATTATTTAGGATAGCGCTGCGGATAGTAAAGGATCCTAGGTTTGAGAGATTAACATGCTTACATAAAGGAACCTACGCTGATGACTGCTTAATTAACAGGTTAGATTATATTTAACAAAGCGAAAATTTATAACTTAAAGGGACTGTAAGCGTAATTTCAAGTGACCCTCCATGCAAAGAGGGGAATGTCCGATTTACAATGGTACCCTGAAAAACATTCTTAGCTCGTTGAGTACAGAAATATGTGTGTTAACAGTCATAACTCAACGCAGCGCATAGAGGGTCACTTGAAATTAAGCTTACAGTCTCTTTAATACAAAAGTTTTATTTCCAATAAAATGCATTCACGGTACGAATTGTTCTTCCGTTTCTATTATCTCAAATGCATGCTCAAAAGACGTTAGATCAAATAAGTTTTTAAAAATTTTGATTAATTGATTGGCATATTCTAGCTGTCTGGTTTACATTTTTCGTCTTTAACCAGGGGTGTATATAATTCCATTTTTTATTCTTCCCCTTCCCTCTCAAATTTTATTTTGATTTCCTTCCCCAAATTCGATAACCAAAGACATCATTTTTTATATTTAAATTGCAGTGCATTATAACCCCAAAAATATGCATTTAAAAAGCATAGATGGCGCCGCAGGGAAAAAATTTTTAAATTCTGATAGGTATGTTGGCAATGGGGGAAAAAGTCGGGATTGATTATTTGTCAGTCCAGGAGGATAATTTTCTTGGAATTTATTTCCGATAATTTTTCTTGGTGGGAGAGTTTGTGAAATTTTTAAGTAGTCTTGACTATTTTGAAAAATTATTGAGTAATAAGCATCCTTTTATTATATTTGTTATGAAGTTGTGCGATAAGCGCGAAACACTTTTAACACTTTTTTGCTGCATTTTAAGTATTGGGGAAAATTATTTTAGATAAAGTTATGTAGATATGTAGAGGTAAAGAGCTCCAGCCCTTCTCTTCCCTATATTCCCCTTTCCTTCACTTCTTTATCTGCCAACCTTCCATCGATTCTCTTTTTTGCCCTTCCCTGCGTTCCCATTCCCTATCTACCCTACCTTCCTCTTACCTTCCCCTTCTACTCCCTTCCCTGTCCCTTCCGTAGTTCCCTATATTCCTCTTTCCCTCTTAACCTTCCTCATTCCGTCTCAAGCTTCCCCTTTCCCTCTAAATCTTCCCCTTTCCCTCCCAACCTTCCCCGTCCATACTTTTCCACTTCCAATACCTATATATTTTCCTACCTATCTCCTTCCCTGCCTATCTCCTTCTCTACATATCTCCTTCCCTACCTATTTCCTTCCTTGCTTTCCTACCTATCTCCTTCCCTGCCTATCCACTTCCCTCCCTTCCCCCTCCCTATCTAACCCCCTTCCCAACCTTTTACATTTTCCCGCTGTTACCCTTCCCCTTTTCCTTTCATTTTCCCCCTTTTTTCTTTCCCCATTTCCTTCCCTTATTCCTTCCCTTTCCCTGGTCTTTGATTTCTTTCTTCCCCAAGGGAGGGGGGGAAGAATTTTATAAACCCCTGTCTTTAACTCGTTTAAGATGTTTTTAAATTAAAAAATATATAAATTCTAATGAGTAAAAAAATTTAATTTCTTGTATATTGCAGGGTGACCCAGCATAAAGCCTTTATAGTTGGCACCTGTGATAAAGATCTCAAAAGAAGAATAAGGAATGCACTCCTGTCGAGAAGAAAACTCTTAATCCCCCCCCCCCCACACCCTCCTGTGCAAACATACATGCACCCACTTTTGGCATACTTTTTAACAATTTAAAAATATATTTCTTGGATCAATATTTAACTTTGGAAACAGTTTTATTAAAGCTAACACTCAACTTTACATTTTTATTTAAGCATTTATAGTAGAAGGAAGGGGGAAGTAAGAATACACACCCCTGGCCCGGTTTTCTTTCCAGTTCGCAGATCGTATAAANCGTTGTAAATAGTTAAAGAAGGAGGTGCATTTACAGGAAGATACCTGGAGTGCCTATTATGTACCTCACAAACCACAAGTACAGCATTGAACGAATGCCGGACGCCTACGGAGCTCCGAAATAAATAATCCAAAAAAATATTTAATCTCACAAAATTTTCCTTAGTTGTACAAATTCAGAATTGTCAGATATTTTCTGATTAAAACTATCTTATGTCCGCCATTTTTATTTTTTCCAGATAAAATGGCCGCTACTCCTTCAGTCACATGGGCTCAGCGCCCCAAAATGGTTTTCCTAACCATCAATGTCAGGGAGGAAGTTCTTAGAAACTACATTTCATTTTTTGTTATGTTTTAACCCTTTAAGGGACTAAAGACTTCATTTCAATTTACCCTCCATTTACGGTGATGCATCATCGTTTTACAGCTTTATCATTGAAAATTATCATTTTTCAGCTTTAAATTATATATCTCATTTATCCAAGATGCAACAAAGGTTCAAGGGTATCGTGAATTAAATGATGGATCAAGTAAAATTACGTCCAGTCATTTCAAGTGGTTTTTGTTTTTGTTTGGGTAGTTTTTACAGTTTTATTTTCAACTTGCCAAGTTTCGAAGTATGAAGGACAGGCCGGGTATGATGCAATAATTTGATTTTAAGAACTTCTGTTTTACAGTGATTGTACAAATCCTGAAATTAAGTTGGAGAAGGACAGTCTACACTTCAAGGTAAATGTATTAATAATTAGACTTTTAGATTATAATTGGAGATAGGGGTGAGGGTTCATTCCTTGCTTTTTTAAGTATTACTTACATCAAATTTATAATTTCTACTAGATGTCTTAGATCTTGTATATTTTGAAGTAGGCATTCTGCTTAGTCTATTGTCAACGCTTCAAATGTCGAAGGTTTACACAATTAGGTTGCAAAGATAATTGAAAACTGAAGTCGGGGGAAGTCGTCAGTTTCTTGATCATAACAGAGCTATGTCTTTTGCGCACCTGTTTTTCGGAATTAACCTGTTTAGGTATAATTTGATATTAATCGAAACGCAATTTTTCCGTTACAGAATTTGCACCGGGAATTTTATGATTATAGAAAACGTCCCCCTTTTCTTTCCCCTTTTCCTTCCCTTTTTCCTTCACCTTCCCCTTGGGCCTTTTGNGGTTCAAATTACTTCAAAGAACAGAATTTGTATTCAGGGTGTTGGAGGCCCTGACAAGAAGGAGTATGAGATCAAGATGAAGTTCTTGAAGGAGTTGGATGTTGATGCGTCTAAGTACGCAGTCAGGCCCCGTAGCGTAGACTTTGCGCTAGGTACGCCGCATTACTTTTTTAAATAAACTGACTTTCGTAATTTTAGATTTCTGAATTCAAATAAAGGACATACATTTTTGTTTTATAGCTTGAATATTTGTGTGACTATTAAGGCGTAAAGCCATTGCTAAGAAGGGTAAAATGTCAGAGTATAAAAAAATAAAACATTTTCAATATTTGTGAGAAAAAATAACAATGTGATCTTTGTTTTCGAAAAATTGTATATTTCTAACTGATGTTGGTTTGTGCAGAGAAGGCTGAGGAGGGACCATACTGGGAGAGACTTCTAGAGGATAAGACTAAACAGCACTGGCTTAAGGTAAAGTAATGGTTGGTTGGTTGGCTGGTCAAGTTAATTGATTTTTTCATTGATTATTTCAATGCTTTATTGTTTCATTGATTATTTCATTGCTTGATTGTTTAATTGATTATTTCAATGCTTTATTGTTTCATTGATTATTTCAATGCTTTATTGTTTCATTGATTATTTCATTGCTTTATTGTTTCATTGATTATTTCAATGCTTTATTGTTTCATTGATTATTTCAATGCTTTATTGTTTCATTGATTATTTCAATGCTTTATTGTTTCATTAGTTATTTCAATGCTTTATTGTTTCATTAGTTATTTCATTGCTTGATTGTTTTATTAATTGATTATTTAATTGAATGACGATTTGAGTGAATTTTATTTGATTGATTGATTTAGATTGACTTCACCAAGTGGAGGGATGAGGACAGCGATGACGAGGGAGCAGGAGGAGATGAAGGAGACATGGCTTCCATGATGGGAGGCATGGGTGGTATGGGAGGCATGGGTGGTATGGGCGGCATGGGTGGTATGGGCGGCATGGGTGGTATGGGAGGTATGGACCTTGCGGCAATGATGAAGGGCATGGGAGGTAAGAACTTTGTTGAAGTATTAGGCATCCTTAGTCCAAAAATACACAACCATAAAAGGCAAAGTTCTACTTTGAAAGGAACACTAGTTCTCGTGAATTATAATACGAGATATGATTCTCAAATCCCTTTCATATTATTTGTTTTTTAAAAAGTGACTTGAGGTGTAGAATTCACGGGATTTGGAGAAATTATGAAGATAGAACATGTCACATGTTTGATATGATATCCTTATGCATAGTTTTATTGTTTACTAATTCAGGTATGGGAGGTATGGGAGGTATGGGAGGTATGGATATGCCTGGTATGGGAGAAGGAGAGGAGGAGGATGAGGAGGGAGACAGTGATGCTGAGAACCTCCCTGGTCTTGAGTAGACCTAGTCATCCATCCCTGAGTTCTACTCATCCCTGATGCATCTCGTCCAGTCATCCTTTTAGTTGGATGTAAAATATTCTGTATTTTGATCATTTTGTAAATCATTCCCCCAACTCGATCCTGAGATCATGATCAGTTTAGTTCTGTCCTACCTCTGATCTCTGTATAGAATTCTCCAGTGTTAATCCATCAGATCGATCTTGATTGATTGATTGGTCGATATCGACTGATTACGTGGCATTTATGCTTGTACGATATTCTGCAGTATTTGCTATTTCAGGTGAAAAATGTTAAAAATTGTTGTTCTTCTTCTTCTCAACCTTGCACTCTCACACGCGCACGGTCATGCACACGATGATGGGCACGGGCATGCTCACGACCACGGACACGCACATGATGAACCAGCTTCCTTCAAATGGTCCAAACAAGCAAATGTGAAAGAAGATGAAATAATGGAAGACGACATTGATGTCGACCGTATCGAGACCATTTACGGAGAAGGGGAGACGGTGAACCTTGGTAAAGGTCAGAAACCTGCCGGAGGTCATGGTCATGCACATGGAGGTCATGGGCACGCACACGGAGGTCACGGACACAGCCATGGAGGTCACGGACACAGCCATGGAGGTCATGGGCATAGCCACGGAGGTCATGGTGGAGCTGAACCTGCCCCTGAAGTTCGGGAGAAAATGAGACAAAATCTGCACGCAAGGTCAGGTATTTTCCTATCTAAACTACAGCATTATTAAATATTAAATCGAAACTCATTCTTGTATATTTTAATCCTTCTAATTTCTGATTAAATTTTAAGCTTATCAAGTAGGAAATAATTTATTTTTGTGTTTAAAGATGGGACGATGACGAGGAGTTAGAGAAAACTGATATTGGAACTGTTTGGTTTCAGGTTGGTAACTAGTAATATCGGAATCTTAAAGGGACTGTAAGCGTATTTTCAAGGGACTTCCATTCAAAGTTGACAATGTCCGATTCAAAACAGTACCCTTGTAACCTTTATCTGATAAATAATGTGGAAGATATTTTCGTTTTTCTAGGCTTATAAGTGGTGCACTCGGATAATTCCTATATTTATTTCTAGAGCAAGAATGCGCAAGACACTTTTGTTAAATAAATTAATTGAAAATAATCTATTTTTCAAACTATAAATATTGTCAGCTAAATAATATTTGATTAGACAACGCTTTTAAGGGTACCGTTGTGAATCGGGCATTGCCACCTCTTCATGTAGGATAATTCGTAATTACGCTTACAGTTTTTAATTTTATTAAAGTGGAACATATTTTCCAAAAATGTTGTCACTTTTAGCAGGAAAACTTCAAATATTTCTTATCTTTCCTTAAGAAATCTACAAATGTTTTACCAAAAAAAAATAATAATTAGATATTTCACTCCTCGTAAGTTCATTTTATGTTTTATATACGGATTTACTCTTTGCCATATTTATCATAACTGATTTATAGTCGATTGAAGTCAAAACTATTATGTTCTTAATCTCGGGATCAAACATTGATCTCTCTTATGCAGACCAACGGATTAATTAATTCCTCCATAGGGTTCAAATTCCACGCATGGATTGATTTGATAATAATAATAAAGCTCATGTTATAAAATATTTAGGCTATTGGAGCAACCTTGTTGATCAGTGCAGCTCCCTTCTTCATACTATTCTTTATCCCCTTGGACAATAGTCAGGAGAAACAGTGGCTTCTTAAGGTAATTACCATGCCATCAATAATTCACAACATTGTCTTATTCTTTATCCCCTTGGACAATAGTTGGGAGAAACCGTAGCTACTCAAGGTTATAAACATGCCATCAATGATTCACAAGATTGTCTTATTCTTTATCCCTTGGACATTAGTCGGGAGAAACCGTGGCTTCTCAAGGTAATAAACATCATCATGTCATCAATGATTCACAACAATGTCTTATTCTATCCCCTTGGACAATAGTCGGGAGAAACAGTGGCTTCTGAAGGTAATAAACATGCCATCAATGATTCACAAGATTGTCTTATTCTTTATCCCCTTGGACAATAGTCGGGAGAAACCGTGTCTTCTCAAGGTAATAAACATGCCATCAATAATTTACAACAATGTCATTTCTTTTAACCTTTTTTTCAGCGGTGATAACTTAAATGTTCTTTTTGAACCACGTCTATTTCTGGATTTCTAAAGCTATGGCAAGCAAGAAAATGGCATGGCTGAAATTGGTTGCAATTCCAATGAATTATGAACTTAGTCATTATTTAAAGGTTACTTCATACTTGATAATGAAACTCCTTACTTAAAGGATATATCACTTTTTGTTATCAATGTAACCATTATGAGGCCTTTCAATGAATTTTGAATAATAAATAAAACAAATGTAGGAACAAATATCTAACATATAGAACTACAATATTGAAGTTCAATTCATTGTGATAATTTCTCCCATCCCAGGACTCCTGGACTACAAGTGATGAACCTGAATCTCTGGAGTGTGGATAAGATGCTGAACACTATGGTTCAAATAGATTATCAAGTACAATAAGTGGCAACAGAGAAATGGACAAATGTCACGTCTCAAGTGTCAAATATAATAAGGAAAACGAAACTTTCTCACATTAGTTGACATGTTTTCTAAGATTAAATAAAAAAAATGTAAAAAAGAAAATAAAGAACACATATAATTGCACTTATTTAACTGTAAGATAAGCACTATTCTAAAATTATCACTATTATTAATAATTTTGCGGACACAAAAATTGAATTGCCACTTGTGACGTCAGAATACAGCTGTACAGAGAGTGTACAAATTCTAAGTTGCCATCTATTGTACTAGAATCTATTTGCTATGGTTGACCTTCGACCCAAGAAACTGGACATTTTTATGTTTAATCTTAATAAATTTAATTTAAAGTTGATTTTCTTGATTAGATTTTGTTGAGTTTTGCCTCTGGAGGTTTACTGGGAGATGCGTTTCTTCATCTTATTCCTCACGCACAGATGGCTAGTGTAAGTACTATAATAACCAGTACTGCTTAGGATCCATCTCTTGTCGATATAAATGGATCCAGAAGAAAATCCGGATCCGGATCCAGGTCATGATCATGTCATCCAAGATTTTGATGTGTTGAATCAATTAAAAATTCCGCCTTTTTTTATTGTTTTCATTTATTTTTTTTCTGAAATCTAAATTAAATTTATATAATTTTTTTAATTAGTCGGCTGGTGGACACGGACACTCACACGATCACGGGCACTCCCACGGTGGAGGAGATGAGGGTCATGTACATGATATGTCTGTAGGTAGGTCCTAGTAATCAGGGGGGGGGGGGTATGATTGAAATAATGCGAGCGAAGCATGCTTTGATTTTCATCCTCCATTGCAAAAAAAACTTCCTACCTTTATATAAGAGGTCATTTGGTCATTTATATTTCCCTTAAAGAAAAAACGAACAAATTATGAATTACCTAAATCTAAATTATTTGATTTTAGTAATTTCTTATTTTAAGGTCTTGGTGTCTTGTCCGGGATTTTGGCCTTTCTTTGTGTAGAGAAATTTGTCAGGTATGTAATGAATATTATTTCAGTTGTGTTTCTTTTTTTTAAAATGTGTTGAATTTCGTCAGTTATATTTTTTCTTCAAAAGTCGTCCATTTTTCTTCAGTTTTTATCCTTTCAATCTTAATTTTCATTTTATTTGTTTAAATTGCTATTTTTTCTCAAATTTTATCCGTTATCTTCAGTTTTCATTCTTTCCTCTTTTGTTAAGGGTTTATTGACAGAGATATTGATTTTCTTGTAAGTCCCTGAGTAAGTTGTAAATGAATATTTTCGTAATTATTGTTAATTTATCATACCCTTGTTTAGAATCTTGAAAGGAGGTCATGGACATTCTCACGGCCCATCTCCGGCGCTGCCTGCTAAGGTAATGCAACCCCAACCTCCTTATGTTAAACCCCCCGGCGAAAAAAATATATTTTTAATGTCATTCTTCTCTTCATCTTCGTCCCTTCCTAAAATGGGAAATATAATTTTGACAACAGCTGTTTTTCTTAGCTTTCTACAGACTCGGTGACATCAACGCCGGAATATTAATTAAAATGTAAATAAACCAGGAAGACCAGACGCCAAGGGGAGGAATCCAGCTAGCCCAGGCAGGAAATGGAGATAAGGGGGGGGGGGTGACGACTATCTTTCTCTATTATTTCATTTCAAACTTAAATGTTGTTGGAAACAAAAAAATGAGGAAAAATCTCAAGATTTAATAATTATTTTTAAACACTCAATAAAAGGGAATTTTTGCAAACCATTTTTTTTATTTATCATTATCTCAGTTTTTTTCCCCATCTGACAACCCATCTTTAAAAGAAATTGTTATGTTTATTTTAAAGTTTTTCAATATTGACTGATGGATATTGTATCATTAGAATCAAAAAGATCAACCCCGACCAAAATATATTTTCAAAACATATGGAACAAACACCTACTTTATTTACTCTATGGTTTGGATCATCTACACCGAATTTTAAATGTTATCTCTGTGCCAGGATGTGAAAGCAAAGGCGGACAAAGCAGAGAAGAAGAAGAAGAAAGCGAAGGATTCTGATAACGAAGAGGAGAAGGAAGAGAATGAAGGAGAGAAGGAAGGAGAGAAGGAGAAGAGGAAATCGGATAAGAAAGCAGTGAAGAAAGTGGAGGAAGAAGAGGTTTCGGAAGAAATCAAGGTATAGTTTTCTGCAGAATATTCCGCGCTCATGTTAAATGGATCTGATTTGGAAGACAAATTATGATTTTTTGAGGGGTGTACTGAGATTTAAATTTTTAAATGTGAATTATCCTGGGAAAATTGGTATATTTGTGATAGCTGGGTTTTGTTGCTGGTACGAAGGATGTGGGTCTGCAGAAGTATCAAGGAGCTGAAGTTCTTGATCAACCACGGTTGTAAATCCTAAGCCTTAAAAATCCTCCAGAAGAAATTCTGTGGCAGTAAGGTCTTCGGATAGTATGATGCATTAACAAATCATAATGTTANAAAACTTAATTTTTCATCTTTTTGATATTTATTCTCCAAAAGTTAATTTCATAAATTTAGCAAAAAAAAACTCTCCTTGAAACCATTATTTGTTGGGAAAAAATTATTTTCAAAGAGGGGGAGGGGATGACTTTAAGGAAAAAATACACCCACTGTATTTTTAGTCATATCTGTTTTTTTTTTAAACCTCGCAAGGGGATTCCCTGATTGCTGTGTTTGGTTGTATGCATTGTTTTTATCTAGGTATCTGGATACCTAAATCTGGCCGCAGATTGTTTCCACAACTTTACTGATGGATTAGCTATCGGAGCCAGCTTCCTTGCCGGAGAATCTGTAGGTAAGAAACTTGATAAAGAACCTCTGGTCGGAGTTGGGGTTTTGGTTTCACAAGGCTCTTCGAAGATTGAACTATTTGATTGTGATGGTCAAAATTTTGAATAATGTAGCAAAAGTGAATTTGCTAACTTTAAAATACGTTGATTGTTTTCTGAAGCCAACTGAAAACCAATTAGATATTAAAAGAACGGATAAAATATGTTTACCAATCAGATTCAACTATACTTACAATAGAAATAAAAATACCAGAGCTGCACCAAAAATACATTTCTCCAAACCAACCTTGGGACCAGATTTAGTTAATTTGAGTCCTGTCGCTGAACTACTTACCGTCGATTAAAATACTAAATGTAGTTATGTAGTTTAGTTATCATCTATTTAACGTGGACAAATCCTAAATCATCGATTCAAGATACGTGGTTGAACCGTCTCTAGACCTAACTCAAAATCGTTAAATCCGATTTTACAAATAACGAGACAAAACTCGGAACTCCTCTTTTGCTTGACCCGAGGCACAAGAGATGTGGTTCAACTCACTCCCTGCGGTTCAAATACTTGTCCCTATTTATTCGTTTTCTGTCACTTGTTCTGTTATGTTGGCGAATATTCTATGAAAACCTAAATTAATTTAAATATTTTTAGGATTAATCACAACATTCACAATTCTGCTTCATGAGATACCTCACGAGATTGGAGACTTCGCTATTCTCATTCAGGTATATCTTGTAAATATGGTAGTTCAAAGACTCGCATATAAATAAACTCTTGAAAATAATTTTATTCTAGAAGATATTGAATAAAGGACAGGGGAGAGAATAGGGGTTTGTGTTCATATGTTTTTGTGACGATGTAGGGAAGTTAAGAACTGGTGTTATCAACAAAACAAACCTGGTTAACGGTCGTAATATTCCTAACAAAGTGACAAGTCCAGGCTTATGAGATTTCTATTTTCCAAATTTTTGTTTATTTACAATTCAACCATTTTAGATCTGTCTAAATACGTCACAGTTCAATATAAACAAACATTATATCTTACAGATATTCTAATGGGTTGGTCTTCAAAGAAAACTATTTCTACTTTTTCATCTATTTAGATAAATACTGGCTTTCTTTTCTTATAATATTCGTGGATTTTAAATATTGTTCGTTGTTTAGTCTGGAGTTCCTAAACACAAGGCTATATTCCTTCAACTGTTAACTGCTGTTGGTGCTTTGACCGGCACGCTGGTATCCCTGGTTCTTGGCGGGGTCACGGAGACAGCTTCATCACTCACGCTTCCTTTCACAGCCGGGTTAGTAATAATTCTGTCAATAATATTTCCTGTAGAAACTTTGTTTTTAATTGCATTGAGGGTAGTAAAATTAATTTTAAATGCAATTTTAATTTTATAAGAACTGTCGGAAAAAATGCGTTTTTTAATGTTTTATGTCCACGGTTGCAATATTAATTTTAAGAATTATATAGCGACAAAATAATCAACGCTTTCGGTTTTCGTATTAAAAAAGCACTGTTTGTATCTTTAATGGCTTGTCAGCCCCCTTCCTTCCCTTATAATTATTTTTTTTTCAATGTATGCATATTTTTAAAAAATTTTTTGTTTTAGTGGATTTATCTATATTGCAACTGTGAGTGTACTCCCTGAACTACTGGAGGGGAGTACCTTCAAGCAGAGCGTAGCAGAGATCCTAGCACTCCTTCTGGGAGTATACATGATGGTCATCATTGCAGAATACGAGTAGAGGATCAGCATTTTCAGAAGATAGTTCTGTGGATCAAGCAGTAGGAGAACATTGATAAGATTTAATCGATAGTAAGAAGTAGCTGAACTGCGAAGACAAAGTTGAACCGCGTAGAAAAATTTGAACCTTTTCTGTTCGACAAAGTCTACGTGGTTCAACTACGTCACTCTATTCAGTAAATCTACATTCAATTACTGTGCTGTCATCATCCTTATACTGGGGGGAGGGGCTTTCATAAATAAACCTTTGAAGAAATTGAAGGACTAGAACCTAGGTCTATGTTTCCCGTAAATTTTTCCTACTTTCAAATTTTTTATTCGTATCGTTTTCTCTCCTTTCCTAAGGTATTTTCATTTTCCGCATAATCTTTATTTTTGATAATTGTCTTTCCCTTTTTTCTATTCTTTCGCGCTATGAATACCTTTACTTATATTTCTTCTGTCTTACACTAATTTTAAATCATTTTTGTTCATATTATTTTCCATTTCTAAGATGTCAATGGATTCAGGCTTTTAAAATTTATTTTCTTTTGTACTAAGAAATACTTCTGTTGTTAAAGATTTCTATTTTTTTAATCTGGGTTTTAAAAACTAACTTATTAATAATCATTTAACTTGAATAACTTGGTTTTTTTTTTGCTTTTGAGCACGTTTCCTTAGTTTTTTAATATGTTGCACAGAATTAGTTTTCACCGTCTTTATTTATGTAATATTTCACATTAGACGCGAGAAATTTTGAAGAATTTTCTACATTGACTAGTTCCCGCATTTATTTAATCTTACATTCTTTAAAAATTATTTATTAAGAAAATTGAACTAAGCAGATTCTCATTTGTATCCAGTTGTACATAAAACCATGTGATGAAATGTGATGAATATTTTTAGCAATATGGCCGCATTTTTGTTTATTAAAAAATATAGAAAATTTTCTAAATTTGCCTAATCATCTTTTAATAGTTTGCTGTGTGTTAAAAGCTTCAAATCGTTAATTGTTACCCGAATGGGACTGTTCCTGATATTTGAAAATTGACGTTTTTTAGATAGAGAACAGTCTCGATTTTATTGTTTTAAATATTTTAATTTTGCAGAAAGATGTCGGATCTCCGACGCCGATCCAACAAGATAGAAGAAAAAACAAATTCAACAAGCTGCCCCAAGGGGGTGGAGGGGGACGAGCGGAATATTCTTGTGTTATTATTCCTCTATATCCTCCAGGGTATTCCGCTAGGATTAGCGGCAGCTATTCCGTTAATCCTCACAAATAGACATGTAAGGTGGGTATTAATTTTTTTTATCATTCCACTTATCTCTTTCGGATTGGAAATTGTTTTGATAATATAAAAGAGTTGAAATGAGATATTTTTCATAAGATTAAAGTAATTCAAGGCAAATTCTTTTGATCATGCAATTCATGTTATTTTACTCCATGTTCAGTACAATTGATATACTGAATTTAGAAATAATGATCTTAAAAAATATCTGGTAAATTGAATGAATCAGCGTTAACAATCTAAATTTGAGACGGCACCAAAAATCATTTTAGTGATTTTTAAACTAATATTTCCTTAGAAATTATATCCACAGAGAAAAAATTTAGTTTTTCCATTTGACAATTAGATCAAAACCCCGGTTAAGGCAATTATGACTTAAAAATGGTCCAACAACCCCCCCCCCCCCCCCCCCCCCCCCCGTGTATCTCTTCATCATTTTGTGATACAAATTTTAGATGATTGAAAGACAACCGTAGGACAGGACAAATAAATATTAATGGCGACAAATTTCTTTCCAGGAAAATTTCATGCGTTTTTGAAAAACTGCAGTGAGAATTTAATTGACATTAATATTTGAATTGCAAGTTCATTTTCATTCTTTTCTCCAATAATTCGTCCCTATCCTACTTTTGTCTTGTCCTATGCAAGGACCTTTCCCATCATTGTCTGTCCTGCGTTCTATTCTAAATCTAGGACCCACTAAGATTGATTATCTGTTCAGTTACAAGCAACAAGCTGAGTTTAGTCTGGCCTACTGGCCCTTCTCTGTAAAACTACTGTGGGCCCCTATAGTAGATTCTTGCTTTATCAAATCTTTCGGTAGAAGAAAATCATGGCTGGTTCCAGTTCAATATCTAATAGGTAGGATTCACAATTATAGTATTTCTATTTTAAAAACAATATTTGACCTTTTTTGTCATTATATAACCTTATTTAAAAATGGATAGGCTATTAAATACATCCACTGCCAAGGATTCTACAATATTTTTATATTAATTTCAGGATCAAAATTCATGATCCAACCAGGAATAATGATGAATTCTAGTAAAATGATTCTAGGATTTACCATGTAATTTTAGGAGTGAAATAGTGTTAAAAGACATTTACAATATATCTGACAGGATTATATTTGCTGGAATTTAAGATGCATCTGTTAAAATACTTAACCCTATGCCGATTGGGCTATTTTTGTCTAATATTGAAGGGGGGGGGGGGTGTTTTCCTCCCCGTATGGTTTTGTTCTTAGAGTTGAGATGGGGGAGTGTGATTCATGTCTCTAATCCAACTTTATACGACCTGCTCATTAGACCTAGGATTAACGAAATATCAGCTGGGATTAACAAAATATCAGCTATGATTGACGATGTATCTGCTAGGATTAACGATGTATCAGCTAGGATTAACGATGTATCTGCTAGAATTAACGATGATCTGCTAGATTTAACGATGTATCTGCAAGGATCAACAATGTATCTGCTAGAATTAACGATGTATCCGCTAGAATTAACGATGTATCTGCTAGAATTAACGATGTATCTGCTAGGATTAACGATCTATCTTCTTAAATTAACGATTTATCTGCAAGGGTTAACATTATATCTGTTAGATTAACTATTTACCTGCTAGGATTAGCTATATAACTGCTTGGATTAACGATGTATCTGTTAGAATTAACGATATATCTGCTAGGATTAACGATGTATCTGCTAGAATTAACGATGATCTGCTAGAATTAACGATGATCTGCTAGAATTGACGATATATCTGCTAGATTTAACGATATATCTGCTAGAATTAACGATATATCTGCTAGGATTAACGATGTATCTTTTGTCCCTGAATGTGAACTACTACCTGGGACAGAGGGGGGACGGAGAGGAGGATATTGAACCTAATATTACTATGTTGACCGCTATGTTCTTCTTTCTAAACTTCCTGGCCGCTACACAGGTGAATAACACCTCTTCCACCCTCGTTATTTTTTTAGTTTTAAAGAACTGTAATCGTAATTTCATGTGACCCTTTTTTGAAAACTGATTACTTTTCACTTGCGATTACTCTACAAAAGTTACTTGCGCATTTCCAATTCCACTGCCTAGAACTAAATTCGTTTAAACTATAGAAAAACGACAATATCTTCCGCATTATTGCCACTGTCATTATTGTCAATGGGGGTCTACAATTCCTTTTTTCCAGAAATATTATTTTAATCCCCAGATGTGAAAATTGTTATATTAAGGATAATGCTTTGGATTGTTGGGCACTGACAATGCTACAGAATCATTATGTTGGATATGCTTCTATGTGTAATATTTTGTTAAGGATAATGCAATGGATTGTTGGGCACTGACAATGCTACAGAATCATAATGTTGGATATGCTTCTACTTGTGATATTGTGTTCAGGATATAGCTGTGGATGGTTGGGCACTGACAATGCTACAGAATCATAATGTTGGATATGCTTCTACTGTAATATTGTGTTTAGGATATAACTGTGGATGGTTGGGCACTGAAAATGCTACAAAATCATAATGTTGTATATGCTTCTACTTGTAATATTGTGTTCAGGATATAGCTGTGGATGGTTGGGCACTGAAAATGCTCAGAATCATAATGTTGTATATGCTTCTACTTGTAAAATTGTGTTCAGGATATAGCTGTGGATGGTTGGGCACTGACAATGCTACAGAAGCATAATGTTGGATATGCTTCTACCTGTAACAGTGTTGGTCAAACTGCTGGATATTTTATGGGATATGTTCTATTTATGGCATTAGAGAGCTATGGTCTAGTTACACTTCCAGGTAATTAATTATTAATAATCTGATTTGAGCTCCTAATGAAAAAGTGCAACTTTTATTGACTATATCATTTTCCTTAAATTGACTGTAAGTAGGTGTAATTTCTTGAAAAGATGGCTCTGTAGCATGATCAATCCCAACTGTACCCTTAAATGCTTATTCTGATCAAGATTGAATATGTCAAGGCTTATCATTTTGAAACTGAAATGTGGTTTCTGTACAAAAGGGTCTTGCCACATATCTACTACCGGAAAACGAACAGGAATTATCAGAATTAAACATTTTTAAACCTAGAAGAACGGCAAAATCGTCCAAATTATTGATCAGATAAAGCTTTCAATGGTACCGTTGTGAATCTGACACTGTTATCTTTGCATGTAGGGTTTCTTGAAATTACGCTTACAGTCCCTTTATTCTCTAAACCGACATATATGTGTTAAATATACACATGGGAGGGAGGCGGGGGTCCAGAGCTCGTATGTTAAATTATTCAAAGGTCCCATATTTTGTACAACAATAGGAGTACAGATTTGACAAAATAAAGTCTATATAGCGATCAAAATTTGATAAGCTGGATGTCTGATTTGTATCAATCTATCATATTATTAATCAGGCAACGGTTTAAATGGTACCTGTGTGAATCAGGCATGTCCCTCTTGAACTGGAGAGAGTCACTTAAAATATTTATGGTTTATACCAAGATCCATTTTTTCCCAGAACGGATAAATCGTTGAGCCTAGAATTCTATAAATTTTATTGGACGCAAATGGAATTAGAATGCAGGGGAAAGAGATTTTAAATGAGTTTTTTGGAGGATTGGAATTATAGTTTTATTAAAAATAACACTTTTATTATTTAGGTTTCTTGAAGTTCTGGTCTATCGTGTTCCTAGTGTCTACTACCCTGGTCGCTATCCTCAAGGGGGAGAAGGAGGTTGAAGGGGTCCAGGGGGAGGAATACAAAGGGGACCAGGGAGAACAGGAGCTAGGGGTCGTTGATACTTACAAGTAACATTTTAACCTTTATTTAAAGTAATATAAATAGATTTTAACAAATTCTCTACCATCAATCCATTAATTCAAACATCAGATACGCTTCAACCTTTTATATTGAATTGTGAATTAATTATGAATTAACAGCAAATAACTTTCCAAAAGTACTGGGTTTTTATTAATTATCAAAGGTTTGGCTTCAATATATAAGAAAATGAGAACATCAATTCTGTAACTGGCATCTTTTCACAATATATTCTGTACAATTTTACCATGTTCATCATAACTGTTCTTGAACACGTTTAAGGATTTAGACTCTCACTCTTGTTTTAATATTCTGGAAAACTGTTCAATGGGTTTATCACTTTTTTACAGAAAATAAGTTTTTTCTTCTGTTAAAATTTAACTGCTAAACTTTTAGAGCATTCTTGTTCAGGTTACTGTTTGATATCCTGAAGTTAAGCTTGATGCCTGCAACTATTCTAATGTTGTTGACCAGTAAGATTGGGTTTGCTGCTACTGATGCTGTTACGGGGTTAAAACTGGTTGAGAAGGGTGTACCTAAGGTAATTTTTATATACTTTAATTGTTTTATTAAAATGATTTGAAAGTTCGGAAAACTATTGATTTATTAAAAAGATAGTATTTGCAATTTTAAGAGTGTCTTATGTTTAAAGAGATTACAAAGCCCGATTCACAACGGTACCCTTTAAGTCTTCATCTTAACAAGATTGTGGTAGATATCATTGTCATGTTGAATTCTCATAATTTCTTCCCTGGCTTTTGTAGCAATTAAGAAATCCGCATTTTTGTAGAGAAATTATGATTGAAAAAAAAAACATTTTTTAACTATTTCTAATTTTAAAATGATATTATCAATCTCCAATAATAAAAATGAATATTAAAGGATAATCTCGCTATGCTCGCGATCCCAATGATGCCACTACAGATAGTGCTACCCTGGATAATCTCTAAGTACACCTCAGGACCCAGACCTATGGATGTTTTTCTGAAGGAACGCTTCATACAACCTTACCGCGACTATCAAGGGTTGGGGTTGGCCATGTGTTAGGTTCAGAGTTGGAATTTCTTTTTGGGTGTTGAGGTTAGAGTTGTTGGAGTTGAAATGAAGATATCGATTTTGATGAAGGTATTCAAGAGAACTTTCATGTTTTTATTATGGAATATTCCCAGTTTCCTAGATCTATAGTCTACACAGTATTTTTCTGTTCGATAAAGTGAGAAAACTGATAACCTCTGATACCTCAAAATCTAATTTTCTAAACCTCACATCGTTTTTTACAAAGAATGAGATGGTAAAGACGACCGGAAACTCTTAAAATGTGACGATCTCAAGGTTGAATAATGTATTCTGCCTTCAATATAAGAATCTAATGGTTTATTTAATGATATCGGTGAAGAAAAAAACCAGTTGCAGGGAATCGTGAATATAAGGAAAGAGACAGTATTAATTCCGTACAATCCTCTCTGAAGTCTCATCCTTGGTTGGTAACCCTGTAAATAATGAAATTTAACATTTTAAACGTTCCAAAAGTATTAATCGGTGAAATGAATTAGTGATGTTAAACTTGGTTTCGTATCAGAAGAAGCTAATAGGTTACAAAATGTTGATAATATTTGAAAAGTAAGAAGGTTGTATAAACTGAATGATCTGTAGGCTATCCCTCTACGATTATGTATGGGAGCTGTTATGGCTGGTTTGGTTTGGATCACACCTTCATTCAAACAGGTAAAACACATGTTGCCCTTGCACTAGCAGTAATAATTTTTATTTTAGTAGATTTACCATTTTTGACCTGGGGATATAGCTGAATAGAAAAGTTCATAGGTTGTAGTTATCACTCTTAGTCATACATATCTCTTTTAGAAGATTTTACCGGCATTTGGTCAAAACAGTTATTTTTATTTTTAATTCCTTTCTCTTTGTAAGATCATATTTCATGTTTTCTTCAAAGAAACAATCCAGGGCTGAGACTAGCATTTTGGAATCCTCAAGACTAGTGCTTTAACATAGACTAGGTGTGCAAATCTAAAAAAACTCATCTTTGTTAGCTAGTATATAAATTTGAATTTTAAGTGGGGGTCGCCGATTTGATATTTTTCGATTTGAGGCCTCCTTTTTGTGGTAAAAAAAAGTGTGTAATAATCAAAATTGAGAATCTTTTTATAAAGATCCAACTAATAATTCCTATTGATCTAATGTTCAACTAAAGTGAGCTGATTATAGTCAATTTTAAACATTAGTGCATATGAACAAAATTTGAATTTATTATTTCCTTAATTAAAATATGTTCTTCCTCAGTTTCTTCTTCTAGCTCATCCTTTCTCAGTTTATCCTCTTAATCCATCTTAACTCAGGTTTTTCTCTCATTCTATCCTTGTTCAGTTTTTCTCTCAATCTGTCCTTGCTCAGTCTCTCCCCTCAAACCATTCTTGTTTAGTTTCTTCTTTCAATCTGCGTTACTCAGATTCTCCTTTCATCCATCTTTGCATACTGCTTAGTTTCTCCTCTAAATCCATCCTTGTTAATTTTCTCCTCAATTCATTCTTGATAACAACTTAGTTTCTCCTCTAAATCCCTTCTTGCTCAGTTAATTCTCACAGTCAATTCTAGAGCAGTTTCTCCTCTAAATCCATCCTTGCTCAGTTAATTCTCACAATCAATTCTTGAGCAGTTTCTCCACTAAATCCCTTCTTGCTCAGTTAATTCTAACAATCAATTCTTGAGCAGTTTCTCCTCTCAATCCATTCTTGCTCAGTTAATTCTCACAATCAATTCTTGAGCANTAGTTCATTTAAAAGAATATTTATATCTTTTATTTAGATCATTTAAAAGAATATTTATATCTTTTATTTAGTTCATTTAAAAGAATATTTATATCTTTTATTTAGATCATTTAAAAGAATATTTATATCTTTTATTTAGTTCATTTAAAAGAATATTTATATCTTTTATTTAGATCATTTAAAAGAATATTTATATCTTTTATTTAGTTCATTTAAAAGAATATTTATATCTTTTATTTAGATCATTTAAAAGAATATTTATATCTTTTATTTAGTTCATTTAAAAGAATATTTATATCTTTTATTTAGATCATTTAAAAGAATATTTATATCTTTTATTTAGTTCATTTAAAAGAATATTTATATCTTTTATTTAGATCATTTAAAAGAATATTTATATCTTTTATTTAGTTCATTTAAAAGAATATTTATATCTTTTATTTAGATCATTTAAAAGAATATTTATATCTTTTATTTAGTTCATTTAAAAGAATATTTATATCTTTTATTTAGATCATTTAAAAGAATATTTATATCTTTTATTTAGTTCATTTAAAAGAATATTTATATCTTTTATTTAGATCATTTAAAAGAATATTTATATCTTTTATTTAGTTCATTTAAAAGAATATTTATATCTTTTATTTAGATCATTTAAAAGAATATTTATATCTTTTATTTAGTTCATTTAAAAGAATATTTATATCTTTTATTTAGATCATTTAAAAGAATATTTATATCTTTTATTTAGTTCATTTAAAAGAATATTTATATCTTTTATTTAGATCATTTAAAAGAATATTTATATCTTTTATTTAGTTCATTTAAAAGAATATTTATATCTTTTATTTAGATCATTTAAAAGAATATTTATATCTTTTATTTAGTTCATTTAAAAGAATATTTATATCTTTTATTTAGATCATTTAAAAGAATATTTATATCTTTTATTTAGTTCATTTAAAAGAATATTTATATCTTTTATTTAGATCATTTAAAAGAATATTTATATCTTTTATTTAGTTCATTTAAAAGAATATTTATATCTTTTATTTAGATCATTTAAAAGAATATTTATATCTTTTATTTAGTTCATTTAAAAGAATATTTATATCTTTTATTTAGATCATTTAAAAGAATATTTATATCTTTTATTTGGTTCATTTAAAAGAATATTTATATCTTTTATTTAGTTCATTTAAAAGAATAAATTTTAATCTTGTTCATATGCACTAATGTTCAAATCGACTGAGAATAGCTCACTTAAAAGGAGTGTTCGCGAAAAATGAAATGGGGTATATACTATATACTCTATCCCCGTAGTAAATCTGAATTCGAACAGGACCTGTCTAGTTTGTACCGGCCTGCCAGATAACAGCGTGTACTGACCCGATCCTATGGTACAGTACGTCGCCCTAACCAGACTAACATACGACAGGGGTCAATTTTATTGGCATAGTCCCGTGAGAGGGCTAACTATGACAACTCCCATGGCGCGTTCAGACTTTTTACAGTACCCAGCCTAATCCTAGGCCTATTTGACCGACCCCACTGGATTAGTCTGCCGTGTATAGGCTTAATGCGATGAAAAAGCGCTTTTGATCGCTACTAATCTTAGAGGACCTCAAATATAAAAATATTACATCGGCGAACCCTCTTAAAATTCTAATTAATAAACTAGGGCACAAAAGAGGTGGCTATAAAATGCGGGTTTGGTAGTGAAATGATCAAAATAACACATTAATGTAGTCACTGCAAATATTTTTGCAAATATTTTGCAGAGACAAAATTTTTTTGGATTTGCACACCTAGTCTTTGTCAAAACACTAGTCTTGAGGACTCCAAAATGCTATGTCTTGACCCTAAATCATTTCCTGGAAGTACATTTTGATAATGGAGGACTGTGTATGGAATATGTTTTTCTGGTCATTGAGTATCTTTATTAAGTCCTTTAAAACATCTTTATTCTGTCCTTCTCAATATCTTGCTGTTTGTTCCATGCAAAATATCAATTTCTGTCTTTTAGGAGTCTGGAGATTTTCCTTTGTCCTATTACTGTTTAGTTGTCCTACTCTACTCTTTACATCAGGTTAGCGGAGCTTCATGTTTTTGTTCAGGGGTGTATTTTTTCTCGAAATATCTTTTCCCCTCAGAAGTTTTAGGGTTTTTATTTGCTAAATGGGGGAAAGTAAAAAAAAAATTGGAAAAATTAGAAGAAACTTTGATGAATAAAGTTTGATCGATGAATTTTGATGTATGTTTCATGAATGATGTTTGATGAATAATGTTTGATGGGTCATGTTGGAATTCATTCTAATTTATAACAATAAGACTATTTAAGCAATAGGTGAACTTTATTGTAATGAAAAACAATAATATTGTGAAAATAGGCGATAATAATATATAAATACTCTTCAATTACAATAATATCACCTCCCTTCTTCATAGGAAGCCTTCTTGGGGGAAAAACTGCATTTTTGTGAAATTATAGTTACTATAAATTTCAGACTAATTCTATTTTCTCACTTGGATACATATCGCAACAAATTTTAAAACTCTGAGGTAGCTATGTGTATCTTCTTGGGCTTTTCATAATGTTTGATACTTAAAAAAAAGACAAGCGCTGCAGATGGCTTTAAAAGTTTTTACAATTGGATTTGTCTGGTCTAAAACCAGAAACCGTCCACAGAGTGACGATGATGACTTCTTTGATTAATTCAATATTTTTTTTTTTATTAACTCATTATTCGAACAAGAAATTTTGTTAAGATCTTAAGAAAAGAACAGTTTTAATCAGTGCTTAGGGATCCAAGGGGCAAAATATCAACCAAAAGCTGCAAAAAAAAAACCTCTCAAAAGCCAAATCTGAACTATTTTAAAAAGAGAGATTATAAAAATTTCCTGATTTCTGAATGGTTCATCAAGTTTTAGCATAAAAATAAGCACAGTAATTAAGACAAGTCAAATAAATTCAGGAAATCTTAAAGAAATGACCTGGATCCGGATCCGCATCAAAATTAAATGGATTCTAACTACTAGTTTTAGTGCTGCAAACCCCCTAAAAATCGAAACAATTGATAGTAAACCTTATATCTTGAAGAGTTTATCATTATTAGGTGAAGAAAAGGCAATAATTAGCAAAATTCGATTTAAAGAGAAAATAATTAAACCCATTAAAACCCGCTTACAGGTGGTTTTTTTGGCCTGGTTATTTTTTTTATGCCAACCCTGTGTTGGATGGATTATGTTTGATGGATAATGTTCGATGAATAATTTTTGATGGATAATGTTTGATGAATAATGTTCGATGAATAATGTTCGATGAATAATGTTCGATGAATAATGTTCGATGAATAATGTTCGATGAATAATTTTTGATGGATAATCTTTGATGGATAATGTTCGATGAATAATGTTCGATGAATAATGTTTGATGGATAATGTTCGATGAATAATATTTGATGAATAATGTTTGATGGATATTGTGTGAAGAATAATATTTGATGGATCATGTTTGATGGATATTGTGTGAAGAATAATATTTGATGGATCATGTTTGATGGATATTGTGTGAAGAATAATATTTGATGGATCATGTTTGATGGATATTGTGTGAAGAATAATATTTGATGGAGCATGTTTGATGGATATTGTGTGAAGAATAATATTTGATGGATCATGTTTGATGTATATTGTGTGAAGAATAATATTTAATGGATCATGTTTGATGGATATTGTGTGAAGAATAATATTTGATGGAGCATGTTTTTTGAATATTTTTTTCTAATTTTTGTTAAATCTTAGATCCTGAATTTCATTAAAAACAAATAATTTCTAGAGAAATTTTTATGATTGTTATGATTGTTTTTTATGTGAGTGAAATTTGTGTCTTGAAGCTGGAGACTGGCTGAATAGATAAGTGGATTTAATAAAGAAATGAGTTTGCAGTTCTACTGTTTATTCTCATGTTTGCCAAAACTTACTCAACCCCCTTCATTGATAATCAGGATTTAACTGTTTGCAAATCCGTTTTTGCAATTTCCTTTCAGGGGCACTAAACTAACTAGAAATAGGATTAGTTTTAAAAACTCTGCAGTTAGTCTACGGGGTGTGGGATTTTTACGAAATCAATCTTACAGAAGTGAAGTTGTTCTTTACTAAAGATTAAAAGAGTTGTTTCTTAAATGTGTTAAGAGAAGACAAAACAATAGTAGAAGTGAAAAGGAAAAATTAAAAAGCAAGTATTGAATACTGATTAGTTGGGGTAGTAAGGGTAGTTGCCATTCAGATTTAGCTTCTGGTGGGGATGGGGTCTCTCTAAAAACCGGAGTTAGTTAACAAATAAAGTTACAAAATTGAGTTTATTCAAATAGGTTGACAAGTACAATAGATGGCAACACAAAAATCGACCAACTGCGCACAACGTCATATGTGGCAAATGAAAAAAGAAAGACGACATGTCCTCTAATTAGTTGGTA